TGTATTTTCTTCTGACATATCCATATGTCAAATTTGAGTTGAATGTGTGCAACCGTTCTTAAGATAATGAACGGAAACTGATGATGACGGAATGACAGAAGGACGGAATGACGAAACAGGGTAACACTATATGCCCCGGCCATTACATGGCGGGGGCATAAAAATCTTCAAAATTGTCATTTCGTATATAAGAGTATAACAACACAATCATCAAATACTGAGCAACTAAACAACAATGTTATATCAATAAACAATGACATTAAAGTCTTAGTGCTAGAGCTAGAAAGGTTTATTCTAATCTAGCAATTATATATTGGAAATACACAAAATATGCCAAGAAGATTTATGTCTTTTGATTTCTCAACTTACTTATGATCTTAAAAAAAACATCATTAAACAGCACCTTTTTGATAACACTAACACAAAATACATATTTTGGTTTACGTTTAAAGATCAACATATCTGTTAACATTTAGTCACTAGACATGTGGGTTATCTAAGGTCTATGTCATGCATTTATTGGACAGCAAAGTAAATGCATATTATGTCAATTTGGTCGTACTTTACTCGACATGTAGAAAAAATTAACTTCAACGCTAAACCCCATCTATTTGGTTATGGCAATGAATTATCCTTGACCAAATTCAAAGAAATTTGATCAATATCATACATATCATTGTAAAACAGTTTTATAAATTCTAGCAGACACATGGATGAATAAACGGACGGATCTACAAAACAAACAAACAGGAAAGAAAAACATTAAAGTAAAAATATCTAAATCGATTCATTTATGATTAGCAAAGCTTACAGGAAAATAATTGTCAAGAATATAACATAAGACAGAAATGACATGATCATACACGAATACATAAATATAATGCACTGGTATATAAATGCACGAGTTTCCATCATAATAATTTATACATAATCAAATGCAATACATAGTTTTGATTGGTCATCAGATTGTTTTTTCCCTCCGAAATGCATAGGTTATAAAAATGGGCAAAACCCGTGGAATGAATTTATTAAGCATGAAAAAAGTAAACAAGAGGGCCATGATGGCCCTGAGGTCGCTCACCTGTATATAGGCTCCACCCAACCCCCCACCCCCCCCCCCCCCAATGTTGCAGGGCCAATTTAACCCAAGGGCTTTTATTTGCACAAACTTGGTAGACACCCATAAGAAGATGTTTCATGCTAAACATCTAAGCTCTAGCTCATTGGGCTTTTTAAAAGTAGATTTTTTTAAAGTTTTTACTATACACATATAGTTAAAAACAATGACACCCCTGGGGCCGGGCCAGTTTTGACCCCAGGGCTTTTATTTGAACAAACTTTGTAGACACTTACTAGAAGATGTTTCATGCTTAATATCTAAACTCTAGCTATTTGGGTTTTTTCAAAGAAGATTTTTTAAGTTTTTACTATATGCATATAGGGAAAATCAATGACCCCCCGGGGCGGGGCCAATTTTGACCCAAGGTCTTTTATTTGAACAAACTTTGTAGACACTCACTAAAAGATGTTTCATGCTTAATATCTTAACTCTAGCTATTTGGGTTTTCTCAAAGAAGATTTTTTAAGTTTTTGCTATACACATATAAGGAAAATCAATGACCCCCGGGCGGTGCCAATTTTGACCCCAGGGCTTTTATTTGAACAAACTTGGTAGACACCCATTAGAACATGTTTCATGCTAAATATCTTAGCCATAGCTCTTTGAGTTCTTTAAAAGAAGATTTTTTAAGTTTTTACTATATGCATATAGGGAAAATCAATGACCCCCCGGGGCGGGGCCAATTTTGACCCCAGGGCTTTTATTTGAACAAACTTGGTAGCCACTCACTAGAAGATGTTTCATGCCAAATATCTAAGCTCTAGCTCTTATGGTTCTTTAAAAGAAGATTTTTAAAGTTTTTACTATATGCATATAGGGAAAATCAATGACCCCCTGGGCGGTGCCAATTTTGACCCCAGGGCTTTTATTTGAACAAACTTGGTAGACACCCATTAGAACATGTTTCATGCTAAATATCTTAGCTCTAGCTCATTGGGTTCTTTAACCCATTATTTCATATACACGCCTTTTAACGCCTTTTTCACCCCCCCCCCTTTTGTTGTCTCAAATGGTGAAAAAATGCCTTATTTACACCCCCAACACTTGTTTTTGTTTGAGAAATGTTGTTAAAAAAAAGTGACCACTTTTTCGGCGCGGCCCCCCAACCAAAAGATACATCAGGGGGTTGCCAGAAGGGGGATGTGCCCCCTTCTGTTTGGGGGGTTTGAAGGGGGGGCGGAGTCCCCCTCATCGCCAAGAACATTTTGGACTTGTGAGAGGCTATAAATGACCCCAGATTGATCATAAGGTAATGTGTAACCAACGCTGAAAAGCATTTGACTCTATCTCAATCCTTTGAGAAGTTGCAGCACTTTGAAATCAATTTTGATGGAAAAATCAACGCAAAATAGTGATTTTTGGCAATTTTGAGAAGTCCCCTTGTTGCCATGGTAACAGAAAATTTAAGTCTGAGCATGTTGTTGCAAGGGCAATGGTCCAGTCAACCTTTGTGCCAATTTTGATTAGTGTGGAAGCAGTTTTTATAGTATTATAGCAATTTGAACTTGTAACGGGAGACTTTTCAATGAAAACAGCCATTTTTCACAAAATGCTCATGAAGTAATGGGTTAAAAGAAGATTTTTTAAGTTTTTACTATATGCATATAGGGAAAATCAATGACCCCCAGGGGCGGGGCCAATTTTGACCCCAGGGCTTTTATTTGAACAAACTTGGTAGACACTCACTAGAAGATGTTTCATGCCAAATATCTAAGCTCTAGCTCTTATGGTTTTTTAAAAGAAGATATTTAAAGTTTTTTCTTTCGGTTGCCATGGCAACCAGAGTTCTGCATGGAATTAAATTCTTTGAACAATTTTTAAAGGTGACCACCAAAGGAACATTCCTGTGAAGTTTGGATGAAATTGGCTTAGTGGTTTATGAGGAGATGTCATTTAAAGTAAAAGTTTACGGACGGACGACGGACGGCCGACGGACGGACGATGGACGGACGCCGGACGGACGCCGGACAAAAAGCGATCACAAAAGCTCACCCTGTCACTTTGTGACAGGTGAGCTAAAAAGGCACAAGAACATTAATTTTACACACAGATTAAAATATCTTAAACAATTTCAGATTCAAGAAAACAAAAAATATACATTGAATTTAGAATAAATTGCTTGCAGAAATTCTAATATCAAAACAAATTTTTAAATATTTTAGTATAACTAGAGTTTCCAATAAGCAGTCTGTTCCACTTTTCCCATTGTTGGACAGTAAACTGCATTTTGATTTAATGACCAATTTTTCTTTGAACAATGGAGCTTAACTATCAGGACATTCTGATTAATAAAGTTAGACAAAATCCAATGAAAGACCAAAGATGAAATGGTTACCTTACAATCGAAAAATATTAATTATGATATAAATACTATGCATATGCATTATCCACTTACAAAAACAAACCTAAATGGCATTGAATTTTAACCACATATAGTTTTACATGCACAACAATATTATTCATGATGTGTAATTAAAGATTTAAATATAATAGTTAAACTCAACACTAAAGTATCACAGTAACTTATAATGCTAATAAATTATTATTATTATAATGATAATCAAATGGTTTAATACAAGCTAGCAATAAGCATATGGTTTTAAATCATTAGTTTATAGAATATTAAGCTATATCTATTAAAACATTTTGATAAAATTTATAAAAAGTAGAATTATGTTGTTTCTACAATGTTATGGTTGATTTTTGAAAGAATTGTAACATAGAATGACCCTGCTATTTAACATACATGAATAAATTACATAAATAGAGTAAAATGTTAAAAGAAAAAAAAAATATTTTGCGACTTAAGTAGCGTTTTAACAATTTAGCAATGATTTGTTGCATGCACCATTGGCCGTTAATGCAATATATAAACATATTTTCCTTTCATTAAGGTATTTTGTAATTATTCTTTTTTCAAAATTCGAAAAAAAAAAAAAAAAATAGAAAAAAAATTGTGAATTACAGAAAGCAAATATATAGCTTTTATACTTTAATAACAACAGCAAACATTTTATTACATTATTATTATATTGCTATGGAATATGAACATTTAATAACAGAATTTGTCCAAGCACAATTGTTTGCTTTCAGATCCTTGATTGTGGGATATTGCCAATGGTTAATGCATGATCTATTTATGGAGAATTTCAATACATTTACATCATTATATCAAATCACAAATAATGAACAAATTCTTCATAAGATATAACACTAGTCCATTTTTACTTCAGATCTGTTAAACAGCAATACCTGGATTTTGAATGGTTTTAATGTTCTTTGACATTGAAAGTGAAATAAATGCAAAATTTGAACCATAAAAAAACATCAAAATTAATTGTTTGGCTGCATGAAAAAAATCTTGCTAAAATAACTTGGAACCTGAAAAAAATTCCACTCTGTGGACATCAAAGTAGAACCACAAACCTTACATAAATAAATTGGATAGCACTTTCTTGAATTAATTGGATAGTACTTACAATGTACTTGAATTAATTGGATAGCACTTACAATGTACTTGAATTAATTGGATAGCACTTACGTGAATTAATTGGATAGCTTTCTCACAAGAAAGCATCAAAAGTCCCTCACACTGGATTAGAAACCTATGTTGACTTTCATTCTGCAGATATCTGCATAAACTTAAATATTAAGCAACTCTGGAGTCCCTAATTACAATCAATGGTGTATTTATAGTAAAATGTCATAAAAGCCATGTCAAAATAAACGTAGGCAAGTGATCAGATCTATTGTTCTACAATGGTACTGTTTACTTTAAGGAATGTAAATTAAATAATAAATTTACTGTCTTTTGCGCACAATTTTATTTCTACAATTTACCCGGGGGTTAAATTTCTTTTTTTGTTTCCAAGGACAACCCCTCGAAAATGTCAGCAAATTAAAATTTCATGCAATAGACAATTAAATAATCATTTGTTTCCGGAGCTTTATTTAAAAACAAAAAATATTTTATGATTTTAATTTGACAAAAGTTGCCACTCGATCTAATGGAATTTCATACTCTCTAATCCAAGACCCTGCTTCAACTTCAACATTGTTGTTCGTATCTTTCCATTTACCATGTGGAATGTATATATCCCTCTGTGTCTGTCCTTTATGTAATATTGGAGCAACTAACAGGCTGTCACCTATCAGGTATTCATCATCAATGGTCATAGCTGTTGAATCCAATGGGTCCATCCACCACAGCGGCCGAATGATAGGAGTTCCTGAAATAATTTTAATTCAAAGTAGACTTGAAAGATACATGTTCTTTTTTTATTTCATAGGACAAAGTATAATAAATAGAGGATATTAAATGAGTGTAGTTTAATACTGAAATTATGAACAATTTGAATAAAATTATATTATGCGAGCCATTGGCGAATACTATTTTATTAAACAAATTTAATTAATTTAGTAATGAACCTACAAAAATATAATATTCTATTTATCACATACCCCCAAAAAAAGTTAAAACCGGTTTAAAGTGAAAAAGGAGTCATTTTTCATTGACGCACATACATGTATAGTATGAAGCTAACATTCAGTGCGTCTTAACGCTATGTTTGTATAACGCAAATGACGTAACGTCAAAATATATGCAAGGCCGAGCAATACAATTTTTTACGGAGCCACAAAAGCAATTATCTCTAACCACTGATTCAGAAATCATGCAGGAAAAGTTGGTCACTTGGGGAAAAATTGTTTCATTACTGGTTAGTTATCTTGGAAAATGGAAAGCCAGTTAGTTGGATCAATGGCAGAGATATAACAAAAAACATGTATTACAATCAGAACCAGAATAATAACCAACATGATTATTGTAAAAAAGAGGTTAAGAAATGGCTTTTCAAACTTTTAAATAAAATAATATATGTTATGGTTTGTCTCTGACTTTGAATTTAACATAATACAGACTTGACTACAAATATACTTTATCCATTCTCATATGATCATCTTACACTTACTTGAACCTTTAAATAAAATAGTAAATAAAACAGAAGGTGACAGATCTGACACTTTGTGGTTCAAATACTACATAAATACATTATGCAATTTAGTCATTAAGAGAGAGATTTTGCAAGTTGGAAGCAGGGTTTTTACTTACCAACATGTTCAAACTCCCTAGCTGCTTTCATAACCAATGGAGCTACAATTTCTTTATGTTGTTTTGTGAACTGTTTCGCCATGGTAACCACTTCCTTATCATATAACCATGGAGGATAAGAGAACATCATACATGGCATATATGCCGCTACACCCATCCACCTAATATACAACTCTCTCTCAGGTTTCATTCTTTCCGAATAAGACGAATTCACAGCTTTAAATGTACCTACACCTCCGATTGAATTTGGAATAGCAAACGGGTATCCCAGAATACCTAATGTCAATACAGATGGAATAACACTTTGAAGACCACCTGTACGGTCCCATGTAGATTTATGACCAGTTAACTGAATAAATAAACCACTCTGCTGACTTTTTGACGCAAAGTTCGATAGCGCTGTAAGATCCATCTTTTCTCCAATCAACATATAGCGTCTGTAAAATCTTTCTGAATCTTTCATATCTAATAAACTTGAGAAATTACAGAAATTTGAAACTTCATTTATCAAACGCAATCCACTGAAGCTGAAGTATTTCTTACTTTCCTGTAACTTTTCAATATACCATTCCATAACCTGATCATCTAATAGATTGATAATGTTCACATCTTCTCCTTGAACTTTGGTAACAAGAAGTTCACCGTCTTTATTGTGCATAAGCTTATTTTTGTCTGTGTTTTCTTTTACTCGTGCAAATGGAGATACTGGTAATACTATTTCTAACTTATATTCCCGTATATACATAAGAGCCTGTTGGGAGTTAGGAAATTTTGTTCTATCAAAAGGTTCACCGTCAGTTTTGGAAAATACTAAGCTATCATCATTTATATCTAAGATACTATTTTGAAAGCTATTTTCACTAATTTGTAGTGAATAGTTAAGTAAGTTTCCTTGATCAAAGGAGTTTCTGAACATTGGATTAGTTGACCAGAATGGGTTCAAGAAAAAGTCATCTTTTGGTAGTTTTAGTGGCAAGTGAATGTATTTCTTAATCACATAGCGGTGGACTTTACGAATATTCGCCGCTTTACATATTGTGTATTTTAAAACAGGCTTGTGCTGTGACTTGGAATAAAAACACATCAATTTCTCTCCGGACTGGTTCATGCTCACATCAATCGGAAGTGAACTGTCAACAATCACAGCAATTCCGGCCGAATTTAACCAGAACCAGTCTTTAACATTTCCGAATGTATTTGATGTGCCCTCGTAACTACGTAAATCATGCAACATGTACGGTTGTAAAGGAACTTTTGCCTTATTTAACGGCCATATTTGTTGATAAAGTAACGATCCACCATACCATGTGACATCTGACATAGAAAAACACGTATAAGGCTTAAAATTTTCAAACAACGGCGTCCATGTCAGAACCTGACACCTTGCATGCTCGTCAACTACATTGTCCACTTCAAGCTTCACTTTTGGATACCATGATGCACAAAGAAACTTTGAAGCATTAAAAACAGCACAGTGACTAGGGTGGCCTCCTAACTCATGGGAATCTGGCATTGAACCTCGTAAGTTGACAGTCTTCCCCTCCTTGTGAAAATACAGCCCAGTCTGGAAATCAAATTCTATATCACCTAGCTGAATCTCTTTGATTTCCTGCTGAAGATAAGTGAATGGCCTTCTTTTAAAGGATATGATAGCATATGTAAGAAGGGTGATAGTAAATGCAACCAGAAGCCAGAATCTCCATGTCTGCATAATCTGTAACCAGGGATACCTGAAGATAGATTGATCAAAAAGTTCACAGATTTTTTAAATTGTCACAGACTAATGTCTTTGAAAGATTTATATCTTGAAAATACCTCAATGCATAACAATCAGTATACATGAAATACCTTAAAAGAAGTACACACTGACCATTTCAGAATTAAGTATTGTCAAATCAAGTTCTTTTTGTCTCATTACCTTCTATTGAGTATTCCAATACCTTTTGAACAAAAATCATAAAAGGGAATGTGTTCATTTTATTTGTCTATAATCACAGATGACGTTTACTCAGGCTATGATATTATTTAGGTGTTTGAACAATTTTTAAACACCTCCCATATAATTATTTTTTTAGCCATTCAAGATTATGCCTTTCGATGATTACTATATTAAATATTAAGTTCAAACAAAGGATACCATGCAAAAAGAACTACATGTAGTTTTTGTTGAGTTTAAAAAAAATTCAATTATAAAATATACTGCTTAATATCTCACGGATTTATATTACAAGGATCGGACACTTCCGTTTAGCTTAAAGTCTCGTCGCGCGCATGCGCGGAATCGCACATAGGATAAAGGTGGACAGAATGAGAGATGGCGGAACGCGCGGAGTGCGAAATATGACTGATTTTCACAAGAGTATGTGGTGTTATTGCAGCTTTGTGAAAAATTATATACATATGAATGTATCGATACAGTATTATTTTGTGTCGCTAAAGTATTAATATATGAAAATATGCCGATAGAACGATGCAACGCTTAGTTAAAAAAGTACCTAATTTAAAAAATATTCGCCTATTGTTTAGGCATACTCTCTACACTTTGACGCCCTTTTACTTCAAGCACAAATTATTACCGCGATTCAGATTAAGATAATTCTTTTTTACATGGTTTAATGGGTGCATTGCAAAAAAATGTTTCTTGATTGCTTAAAAACTTTTAAAGAAATTCATGTTTGAAATTTGTCTTTATTTCTGTGAATTATTTCCAAATGATTTGTACATTTTTTATTTGATTACCTGTATATTAGTATAAATATAGTAAATATTCTACTAATTAGTGTATTAAATATATTTTCAGATCATTCTAGACAAGCGTTCATATATAGATGAATTCATTAGATTGGCAAGGAAGAAACTTTTATTTGCATACGGAACAGCTGTTTTATAATATTTTTTTTTATTTTGAAACAGATTTTTTTCATAGTTATCCTTCACAATTCACGTCAAATGATTTATTTGTCATATGTTTATTCTCATTAGTTTTCAAAGAAAGGGCTATACAAATTTAGTTGTATATTTTCTATTTCATTTATAAATGTTAATAAAGAAAATAGATTTACATTGTATTTATATATATCCTCTTCAGAATCATTTTCTTATCACACATTCCATGGACTGTAGTTAAAGACCGCGCACATACAAAATATACATTCAAATTCTATTTGTTTTTGAAGATTGAGTGTTGCAATTATCACATGTAACCTGGTAATGAAAGTTTGAAAATAAAGATTTTCAATTATCACTTGTTACCTGGTAATTAACCCCCTTCAAAAGTAATTAAACTTCAAAGAAATTTAAGCGCTGTGTAAAAAATAATCAAAAGTTACTTTTATTTCGCATAATACTGACTCAAACTGTTAAGATTTTTATTGTTTTTCTAGCGTAACATTAAAATTTATCAATAATATCTTTCTACAGGCAATCAAATAAAAAGAATATTTAAAATATACAAGGCCGGAATCGAGGCAGCCACACGAGAGTACTTTTAAAACTGTTACGATGATTATCTACTTCACTGCACCGACTTTTGAAAGCAGATTTACAAAAAAATAATAATGATATAAATGATGAAGGAAATTTAAATATTCTATGAATATAGCAATATTAAAATCTCGGCAATATTTTGTACTAAAAAATGAATAAATTTTCTTCACGTGTTGAGCGAATTGTAAAGCCCGCAATACATTTCCCGTAAAACAATTGTGCGTTAATAAATTTGACTACATAACCAAATAAATCTTAAATATTGCATCTTTGATCATCTGTGAATAACTTACATCGGCTTATTTTTTATTTTGAAATTGAATTTATAATGTTACCATAATAATAAATTTCAAATACCTGCTTTTTATATAAAAAATGTAAATTTACAGCGGATTTTTTTCAAGTTAATCTTTTAATCGTCGTTGCGGACAGATAAACTGTACCTTTGAAAAACAAATTAGATATTTGAATTAAACAAGTATTTTTCGTCAATATAAACTTTAAATTTCCAAAATCGGATAATAAATGGAAAAGCTATGTGGTATTTTGTAAAGTAGGTATCCGTTGCGAACGGGCATTTACGCTTAGCGCCGGTAAATTATCGATCGATGTACCTTTATCGGATGCACGACATGATATTTAAGCATTTATATAGGGTTAACTGGGAGTGTCCGATCCCTGTAATATAAATCTGTGATATCTAAAAACACTAAAAAAAACTTTTTCAATCTAAAGAAAATTTAATTTTATTACTTCAAAGGTAAAATCAACATGACCTGTTCAGGCATGTCAAGATGAAGTTTGGCTGTAAATGTGAATTCTTACCTAGATCTGACCCTTCTCCATTGTAGTCTCAGCATGACTAGTATTTGTGTGTATTATAACAACATTCAAACTCTACATGTCCTGTCTTTCATCCTTTTAGAAACACCATACATGTGTTCAATCTGCAGGAAAAAAAATCAAATTAAATCATTTATTTACTTTTTGATTTAGTCTACATATAACTAGATATCTTAAAACGGCACAGAAGACCTGGTTCTAGCTTCCAAAATTTCTTTATATGCTGTTTTTATTAATGTTCTTTTATCTATTACACATTTAAAGTTTTGGATCAGAAGCACATTTGTTTAACCTTGTTTTAATTCATAACTTTCCTATATGTCACCCATTGAACTTGAGAAACAGCATTGCTATAGTCTGAAACATTCAGAAATACACTGGTTTTCACATTCAAAGCCCACTGCATTTGAATATGACAAACCCGAGAGCAACGACAAACCCCGAGAGCCACATTTGAAACTGTTAGAAGTTTTTGTAAATGGAGCAAAAATGAAAGTTTTTATGTTAATTTCACATTTTGTGTTGTTTATATGAAAGATGAGCTTAAAATTGATCATCATCATGAAAAATAATGTGTACTAAATCAATGGACAAAAAGATTATGTGAAAATAATGGAAATGGAATCTATAGAACATTAGAAGTAATGATATCATGTTATTTTGAGGGTGTATTTTTTCAAGCGAATTTTTCTATCTCTGTTTATATATGACATTGACCACAGATATACGTCTATTCAACTCCGTGCATTGACATATGAATTTTTCAAAACCTTTTAAATTATGTTTTATGTTTAAAATCTTTTTTGTTTACTCTTCATCTTTATAAAATAATAAGTTTTCTCAGCCGTAAATGGGACAATACATTAGAAAACTCTACAAAAGTGACAGTAAAACTCCTCAGTCCTGGCACTTGATTGAAGTCTAGGAGGCGCTGGAGACTGTTGATGCCATATACCTTGGTAACACGTAAGTATGAAGCATCAATAATAATAATAAAAATACAAAAATAAGTCGCGAAATCTAATGACAAAATCTAAAAAATATAATATGACAAGAAAGCCAGTAAAATCAAATAAAAACTAAATTTTATGCTCCTATTTTTTTCATATTTTCATTCCATAAATTTGTTCATATAAGCTCGAAACAAAAATTTCAACAAAATCATGAACTTACACATTTTTTACATGATTTATCTACCTTTGTTTTAAAGTGATAAATGCCCGTTTACGGAACGTATTCCCGGTTTGTATAAATCCCGGTTTCGTAATCCGGGGTATTTAGTATGAACATATTTTCAGTTAAAAAAACTAAAAATGTTGTACTCTTATCAGTATTTTTATAATAGTTTGTCTCTTCAATTTGTTTTGTAAAACTACAGAACGGAGTACTTTAAGTTATAATTAGTTTACTGCTTTAATTATTACACTGCATACCATTTTGATAATTCCATAAAATCTGGGACATTTGATCAGGGTCTTTCAAATAGAAAGACCCTGCACAGATGAAATAAAATATCCGTGTGGTTCTTTAATATAACACATTCTAAAGCAAAACAATTAATTAAATAAATAAAGAAAGAAAATACTTAAAAATTAAAGAAATAGGGAGAAAAGGGAACTAATTAATCAAAAAGATCAACTAAGATTTTTTTTCAATTTATCTTTTCAATGAAAAGATGATAATAATGATAATGATATTGTGCACCCTAGGACAAATCTATCCAAATGTTGTTTTAAAAATTTGGTTGGTTCATTTTATGGACCGCCAAAGCTAAAACATTGTCTTATTGTTAACCTATGATATTAACTATCACAAACTTGTAATGCGACTTTCACGAACCTCTCTCTCTCTCTCTCAAGTTTATTTGTATTACATTCTAGTACATGTTTTACACATGTCAACTTACAGAAAAGCTCCATATGGCTTTTCAAAGACTAACATAACAATTTCCTGTTTTTTTTTTTTAATACATCCCTGAATCAAAATATCTACATGGTTTAATCGGAAGACATTAGACATTTTAATGAATAGTGTGCTGTCTTATCTATCTTCACAAAGTTGTATTGTTTCTTATACAGAAGTTAGATTCAGGAATTTTTCAATATACACCTACTTATACCTACTTCATTAATTTTATACATAGATTTGAATTATTTTCATCTATAATACTCATGAATACACGTATATTCTCTACTTTTCATTAAACATTGAAACATTCTGTTTAATACGAATATGAAAAGCAATACAATATAGCTTTTAATGTTATTTACACTCTTTTCGTCACCATATATCAGTTATGTTTTTATAAGAGATCTTCTAGGATTACACTGTACAATAGACCAGTCAACATCGTCACTCTTGGACAAACATCGGGAGTGCTTTTGTGGTCTCGTTTTTGTATTTTCTGATCGCTGTTCCTTTTAGGTTATTAACTGTCGCGTTTCGGTTGCCCATATTGCTACGCGCATGATGATGAATTATAGTACGTGTAGGTGTATGATACAAAGGTCATTCCATCTAGAGGCAACCCAGGTCCGGTGTTTATCAGATTTAAGGATCGGGTTCAAGATCAGGATCAAAATTAAACACACCATTCCTCCATTGTTCATCCTTATTATATTTAAAATGCACTGCTGACTTGATGAAATAGCATTTTTATGAAATTTTCTAAATAAATTTACTGTAACTTTACAAGAAATGTGCATTTTACAGCTGATCCAGATATTTTCTTGATTCAAAAAATGATCTCCATATTTTACCCCAAAATAAAGTTGTTTCTTTGCAAATATAAGCAAATATTTTACATTTTTTCTTATTTGCCATTTAATTTTGGCAGAATAAAGTCAATATATAAGTTTCGTAATGCAATGAGGATGAAATTAGGATCATTTAATAAGGATCCTACGGTGGCACAGATGGTTTTTTTATCTCGTGCGCAATAGATACTGTGTCGTGCGCACGAGTTACTATGTCGTGCACACGAGTTACTAAGTTGTGAGCACGAGTTACTATGTCATGAGCACGACTTAATTATCAAGTGTACACTACAAAATTATTTCGTGCACATAATAACACGTGAGCACGACGTTGTTACTCGTGCGCACGACTTAATTATCTCGTGTGCATGAGATGAATAAAAACACACATATGTCACCTCTGTGCACCCGTAGGATCCAGAATTTTTCTTAGTGAATTTTTCAAAAGCACGCAATTTTCCAAACTATTTACCTTTATTTTTATTTAAATTATACCTAAGTACACCGTGTTTTATGTCGAAATGTGCATTGAAAACGATACTTCACGGAATGAAAGTATAATTGACCGTTTTACATTGTAAGACATAATTACTTTTGATAACTGATATTATCTTATTTTTAAACTGTTTTCCTGTAAGATATCATGCCACAGGTGGCCCTTTTACGCTTTCAATAAATTCTAAAGTAAAACTGTACACAATTTAAGCTGCCAATTAAATAAATTCGTAATACGTGACCGCAGTATTTTGATTATCAAAATATCATATATTAAAAGGATATTTATTCTCAAATATATCTGAAAACATGAACTTTTAACTACTGTCAATCATTAAACGGAAAAATAGCAATTATTTTAAAAACATTTCACAGTTTCGTACCGATACAGTTTAATTGATGTGTATCAACTTTTGGAATATCAGTTAATTACCCTATAAAATTCTTCTCCATATGATTTACAGTATTTAAAAATACTGCTTCGCGTTCTTATAAAACTGCGTATTTTTTTTATTTTTGATAACATTTCAAGAGAAAACTACCAAGGTAAGGATATTGTTGGTTTTGGATACTGTGATACAGGATGTCAGCACCGGCTGGCTGTAGTTTGACAAGCTATGACGCCACGTGCAGCTTTAGCACGTGGAGTCCACCGTTATTGGACAGCCAGTTCTCAACATCTCCAGGAAATCTTATTGTCAGCTCGGTTGATGGAACAATCCCGAGCAATGTAAGTGACGACCTTTTTTACTCCTTACTGTTTCATTAAATGATTTGCGTTTGCGTTTGTATTTATATTTATTAATCATAATTAATCATAATTAAATGTTGAATAAAACTGAACTATATTTTTTACTTAAGTTGAGATTGACAAATGACAATGCAATGAAATTTGATATAAGGGATAAAAATATTTATTTATTTATTTATTCATTCATTCAATTCATTCATTCATTCATTCATTCATCCATTCATCCATCCATTCATTCATTCATTCATTCATTCATTCATTCATTCATTCATTCATTCATTCATTCATTCATTCATTCATTCATCATCAACATCATCATCAACATCATCATCATTATTATTATTACATGTATTTCATTAATTTTTAGCCATGTCCGTAAAAATAATTTTAAAACACAAACAGGAATCCTATCATCATTTGAGCCGCGTCACGACAAAACCAGCATAATTGGTTTGCGACCAGCATGGATCCAGACCAGCCTGCGCATCCGCGCAGTCTGATCAGGATCCATGCCTATTACAAGTAGAGAAACTAATAGCGAACAGCATGGATCCTGATCAGACTGCGCGGATGCGCAGGCTGGTCTGGATCCATGCTGGTCGCAAACGCATTATGTTGGTTTTGTCATGACGCGGCTCATTTACATTAATACTGTTCAATTCAGGCACTAAACGGCCTAACAAACAGTGGTGGTTACACCGGAACTTCGCAGCTCAGCCTCGACTGCGGGTTCGGCAGTAATAATCAGATGACGTTATTGAGTGATAGTTTGTCAGGAAATCTTTCATGGGTGGACAGTATGCTTATAACTGGTGAGATCTTTACCTTTATATATGTATGTTTTTCTATATAGTGAAATAATCTTTTTTGTTTTTACTTTTGGTCTATTCAACAATCAAATGCCTTGATTTATTATGAAACACTCATTTATCACAAAAACATTGTATATAGCTATTACATCTTTTAATTAGCTATTACATTTACCTAAACGCAATAAGAAGTCAAAGAGTAAACAGTAAAATATTACAAAAACGGCGGTATTTTTAAAATGACTATTGTGTGTCCAAATATCCGATTAATTTCGAAACATAAAGAATGCTAGTTCTGGCTTCCTTCACTTTATATGTCACTTTTTTGACGTTGACCGAACAGGTCTAGCAGTACTATTAGACCTGTTCGCTGAAGTCTTTTTAGCAAACAGAATGCCAAATAATTATACAAAAGAAACGACATGCATACTTTATTAAATAAATGTAGAAATAACCGTTTTCAGTAGTGTAATATGCTGTTTAAAATGTCTTCAAACCGTATTACCGGAGACAGTGATGACTGCAATCTAAAATCTACTGATTACTACAGGTAGGTTATATACTTGGTTGCTACATTATGCAAATAAGGTCTATTTCATTGCTATAAACTTACTGTCCTTGACTGGAGAAACTATTAGGTAAGTTTAGACCCGTTTCCCTATTTCATAATAAATGACAGCCTCGGAAAAATCCGTGAAAATGATTGTGGTTTGTTTAGAATATCTCAAGTATTAAATAAATGACTGGATTTCGTGTTATACACATAACTAGAAATGTGTCCATATGACACGGGTGCCCCCACACTCCACCTATTTGTCAATCTTATGTCTCTAGGTCAATTTTTTTTTTGGCTACATGTGCCCAAGTTGAAAACTAAAAATCTTTTATTAAGTATAGGGCAAATACTACAAATACTGAATAAATCAACAAGAAAACCCCAAGGTGCTTAAACATGCAGACCAACATTCTTGTAAACTTTCAGGCCTACAGGTCATAAACTTTTTGAGTTACGTACGTACAACACAAGTTAAATATTGTAAATTTTTACTAAGTCAAGGGCAATAACTCTAAAATACTAAAATATCCACACGAAAATACCCAGGTGCACAACTACACATACTGAGCAACATTCCTGTAAGGTTTCATGACTCTAGGTCAAATACTTTTTAGATAAGTGCGACACAAGTTGAAAATTGGAAATTGTTACTAAGTCAAGGGCAATAACTCTAAAAATACAAAAAAAATATCCACACGAAAATACCCAGGTGCACAACTACACATGCGGAGCAACATTCTTGTAAGGTTTCATGACTCTGGTCAAATATTTATTTAGTTACGTGCGACACAAGTTGAAAATTGGAAATGTTTACTAAGTCAAGGGCAATAACTCTAAAAATACTAAATATATCACATGAAAATACCCAGGTTCACAACTTCACATGCTAATCAACATTCCTGTAAGGTTTCACTCTAGGTCAATTACTTTTTGAGCTACGCGCGACACAAAATGGGAACGGACGGACGGAAGGACGGACGGACAAGGGTAAATCTGAATGCCCCCCCCCCACACAAAAATCACCACTAAGGGTCCCGCATGCAAAATATCATCCCAGTGTGTATTTTCTTGACTAAAGATGTCCAAACTAGACCGGTTGAAGTGAAAATGCTTTGGGTAGAAATGTATTTTAGTGGCTGCAAATGATGACAAAAACGCTTTAAAAGTGGCTAACATTCTGACACAAAATCAAGATCACTCTGATATTAACTTCTCTTTTCTTTGCGTACTACGAATATGTACTACTTTGGGGGTACTTAGCAATGAGAATAAAATTTCTTGCTCAAGGAAACTACGACTTGCCCCTAACATGTAACCATGAAGCAATGACGCGTTTAATCAAAAGTGATTGACTGAATGGGTAAATATGACAACTGCCAACAACGCTGCACCTTTATCTTGCTGGAACCGAAATGAATTACCCAGTATAGAGCAAAGCCAATCTGAACATCGGTGCAGTCTGGTCAGGCTCTGTAATGTTGGCCAGCTAACTTTTTAATTTTTTAATCTTGAATTTTCCAGATTGATAATTTCAAAAATAAAAGCTTGAAAAGTCCATGTCACAAATCCTCAGGTTAAGGATTACGCTGGCAAAATTTTAAACCTGTACAGCCTTATTATTGTCGGCTGCTTTTATGTATACCAAGTCATTTGAATTTGGCAAAAATGCCACCAGGTTAATATTTGCAAACGAAGTGTGAAATATACTTCCCATGGTTTAATGCATATAAAACATTTTTGAAACGTTCATGTTTTGCAGAAATGAAATAATTCTTTAATATACATAAAATAAAAAGTAGAAATGATTGTAAACTCAAGATTTTCCCTAAAAATTGTATAAGAGCTTAAAAAATCATAGCCGACTTAAAATGACGAAAACATAAACCCGATTGGTTTGCATTATTATAGCCGTATATATATACCAATTCAAAAATCATCTGTGAAATTAACCACCTTATCAATAGCAATAAGGAAATGGCATATTATTAAAGTCTGCCCTTCAATAAATGGGCGGACAACTCTTTGTCCCTTTCTCGTATGAGAAGGGGAATCCTGTGATGCGTGTATGTGGTCTCTCGGTCACTTTTCCTCCAATAAGTCCTCGATGCGTGTATGTGGTCGCACGGTCGAAAATCTCAGGGTAAAATAATGTTTAATGATTTTTTTTACGGAAACGCCCTGTTGACTACGGAAGCATCTTGGTGCCATTTTAACATGTTCTTTAAACAAAAATTAAAACTCCTACGTAGGAGATGAAAAGCCTAATTTGGAGTTTACAAGTCCCACATAGGACTTCGTAACTCATACATATTAGGATATACGTAAGAGATACAAAAGCCTAATTAGTAGTTTTTAATTCCTACGTAGGAGTTATATTCTTTTTAGAACATGTTAAATTGGCATCAGGACGTGTAGTTTTAAAGCCTAATAACGAGTATGTTGCTTTTTATATCGGGGTTACAAAAGCCGATTGAGAACGTTGTCACTTTTTAAGAAATAAGTCAGGAAAGCTAAATTAGACTTTTGTAACTTTTAATAAGAACATCCTATTTTTGAGGAGTAAAATTATAATTTAAAATTTGTAAAATAATTCTATGAGCTTCAGATTATAACAACGAGAATATAGATTTTCCGAGTCGGTCATTTTAACCTGCTCAAAATATTTTATGAAATGGAGAAACGAGTCCAAAATGCCGTATAATATCTCCATTCAATGGACAGTAAGTCTATTGCAATTATTGTCCTTACTTTGCTTTATGATAGCATACCAATCAAGTTTGTAACTTTACAGTAGTAATAAGTAAATTTTATACATGTATTTCTGTCACCTCTGCAGCAGTCTATGATCAACGGCACCGGTAATACTGTGTATTTATCATGTTTATGATTGTAATAAAATTTCTTGTTAATACAGATTGCAACAACATGGAGATTCAATCCGGAGCCTTTTCCACATTGACAGGTCTTACTCTACTCACAGTTATGGCGGGAAATATTTCGACAATTTCCGGTTCGGCGTTATCCGGTATGACGAGTCTGACGACGCTCTATTTCTATGCAGGTTTCCCGTCATCTGGTATACCGTCAGGACTGCTTGACGGATTGACAGAACTCACGTCTATTGATATGTCTCGAACAGTTTTAAATAGGTATTTGTATTTTTGTTTATGCAAAATATGTTCATTCGTACAATATAATACTGTTTTTATAAAAGTTATTTTCGAGTACAAATTATACTAATATTTGCTATAGGTTTGTTATTATCTTGGGCAAAGCAGAATTAAAGATTTTACTGCTAACGTTTGAACTGTAAAGCATAGTGATACTAATTCATACAGGGGAGGTAAACGTAAGTTTTTTTTTCATTTAGTATTTGTGTGCATAAACTTTCATTTCTATACCCGATGAAGTAATAAATGTAGTTTTATTATTACAAGCATACCGTCGGGGTTATTTGACGGTTTGACCAAGCTCACAAGTCTACAACTGCTCGATAGTAGCCTGACAACGTTGCCAGGCAACCTGTTCTATCCTTTGCTAAGTCTGACAAGCCTGGATATTGGTGAAAATAATTGGGTATGCGACTGCGACCTGCAATGGCTTGGTGCATATCTCACAAGTTCAGGTGACATTTCTTTTTCAATATCAGCATCCATTTCATACATTTTATTAATCAAGTTTAAATTTTTAAAGCCTGAACAGAATTTGCTTTTGGTATAGAAATGCCGTGTAATTTTGTGTTGTTGTTTTTTAAATTCCCCGAACATTCTAATTTATTACTATTTCATTATACACCATAATATTGAGAAATAGTTATTGCAAATACATATACAACATATGGTAAATGTTTACATTTTGATTGTCGAGTGATTCCCATATTTGAAAGTACATGTTTACACTGGTGATGTCATGAACCCCTGTATTTCAAACAAGACATACACAAATTAGTCAGTTATCGTTTTGACAGTATGTGGCACTCTCAAAGTGTAAAGGACCAACAACTCGAAAATTACGATGCTTTGAAATAGAAACATTTTATCTCTGTATATAATTTTCTTATGTCCGAGCGATAAATGGACAAAACTTATACAAAGGCGTATTTCTATATAAAAAATATACTTTAGCAGCTAATTTAAGGGTCAGAGTATACAAATAATTCACAAAATTCATTTCCAGGTTTAACCACGGATAATTGCAGTTCTCCAGCAAATCTTGCAGGATTTGATCTCTCGAGGGCTTTGCTGTCATTAACATGCACATCGGTATATATATTCTTTTATGATTACATAATGTAACAGGAATAAATAAATAAATAAATAAATAAATTAATTAATTAATTAATTAATTAATTAATTAATTAATTAATAATAAATAAATCAATAAATCAAGATTATGTACGTGTATGCAAAATTACAAAGTTGCATCACATATCGGAATCATAGAATACATTGGTATGGCAGTGCCGCATATTTTAAATCATCATAAAGTAAAACATATTTTATATTAGTAATACAGTGTGTAATAATACACAACACAAATGTATATACAGTTACCCTTACATGTAGTAACGCCAGTAATTAAGAGCAAAGAAAAGTTGATATCTTGTTAGGTTTAGAATAAAACGGTTATTACTTATTATTGTTATATACTTTCAATGCACCTACAAACTTGATGATTCTCTCCCTTTGTTATTATAATTAAGTTTAGACATATCAGATTGATATGTAATATAATCATATGATTTCAGACAACAACTTGTAAGTATATATACATGTAAAGTGCTTAGATACTCTTTTAACTTTGTAGGAAGTCTAGAAACGTTTTTGTTTGGATTTTTTCCGCCAATAAGTAAAATATCAATTTCGTCTCCATCATATCAATCTTTATCTGTATATATCAACCACTTATATTTCTGTTCTATTAGTAATATATGAAACTGGAGCTGTCATGGATCTTTTAGAAATGTCAAACATATATTTAATAATGCTTTAATATTGGATGTAGAATATATTGGATGTTAAGCAGAGCAGAGTTAATGTGTTATAAAGGTCACCGTAGGGAACGTGTTACAGTATCGCGTTTTTCGGTTACAGTATAGAATTTTCAAGATGGAGGATTATGTGTTGGGAAGGGAGGTAGGTGATTTTTATTCCGGTCCATACTACTAGTAGTTTAGTTTCTAAAAGATGTTTTTGTGCTTTGCTTTTAAGGAACAGAATCCGGTATCTAGTCGTATATTTCTTCAGACCCTGCACCGCAGATTTATCTCTATATTGTCTCATAAATGTGCAGATTTGACGGTTTAAAAATTTGAATCGAGAGACCAACGCATTTTTCTCCCATTCCGACATTATTTAAGCATGCCTAGATAAAGTAAATCTACAAAACGTTAGTCCATTATGTTAGGAAACGTTTATAAAAGTAAATGACCAGTTGAACCTGTATTCCTGTTGGTAAAATGCGTTTGAAAAAATAAACAATGTTAATACATTCTTGAAAGGTTGAATTACTTTTTTTTCTTCAGCAGAAAAGTTATAGTTTCCTATTTTTCTTATTTAAGTTTCAGATTGAGACTTTTTGCAGAATAAGTAATGTCCTAAGTAAGGACTGTTTTCACGTAAACAACGGTAACTTTTATCGACATGTATTGAGAGAAGAAAGATTATTGCTTGATTTCATTACACATTATAATAATGCCTATTAGTAATAAAATAGAGAAAAAAGAATCCTTAACAGAAATCCAACACGGAAAACATGAAAATGTTGCAGGCTCAGTTTGATTAAACGTGTTCATCGACGGTAGTGGTAACTGCAAGCTACCGTCCACGCCTCCTAGCACCGGCTTCAGCAGAATTCACATTAAACATGAACTGGTACACTTAAGATTTTTAACACCTGTGGATGTGTTCATATGACGGAACCTTTAATGTGACACGTTATTGGCATTCTATGAAAAGTGGCATATTACCCCCAGGTAAAACATTGCGTGTGCCCTAAACGAGAATACAATGAGTGAAACTAAACAAAATGAAATTTTGAGAGGGGATCGGAGGTTATGAAGCCTGCATACCATAGATAAACTGTCAAAAGACACAATTAACAAGAGGCAATACCCTAAGAATGATTAAACAGTATTTAAGTGCGCAATACTGCAACCTTAATTTTTTCAAGTTGGAATTTCCATCTACCATAATGTATTTTGTAAGTATTTAAAAGGGTTTATAAACATTTTCAAATTTGTTGCGTTGGAATTCTTTAGGGATTCTGTTTAACTCTATTTTGTTACGTTTTGCTTTCATGGATTTTAAGTTTCGACGACACTTAGGTCATGTGAAAACATTCCTGCTTTAGTGTAAAGAAAGACCCCAGATACCCTTTGTGAAACATTTCACACACGAGCGGGCACCTGACTAGAACCACCGACCTTCCGTAAAATTAGCTTGATAGATTCCTCACATACAAAGAATCCAAAGTCATGATTGGATTTCAACTACAGCAGGTAAATGAAAGATGATTTTGAAGTCGACGGCCTTATCCCGACTCTGTCACTATTATGTACTTCCATCAGACTCACTAGAGAAGATATTGAAATTGTCTGACCTTAATTTTATACTCTATAAAATTTCAATATTATTTTCTTTTCAGAAACATACAAATTGCTATAACAGGATGTCTGAAATAAAAAAAACGACTTTTGATTTAATAATGACAAAATAAGTCGTAACTTCAACAAAGAAGCATTCGAAATGACGCGATCATCATGATTTGATTTGAATGCTTTTTGGTTCGAGATGGAGAAGATCCTTTAAACATTGGCCTTTTTTCAAAATCTATGTTTTGGGTTTTCGTATCCCCGATTGCAACCAACTTAATTGGGTAGAAAGTCATGTAAATTTTCATCAAATTTAGTCAAGTAGTTACTGAGCGGTTGAGATTGCACACACTTGTGTACGTCAGACGGAACGAATAGCCATCGGGCCAATAAATAGCCATCGGGCCAAAATATAGCCATCGGGCCAATAAGCTCACATATATTTAAAAAGTCTATGTAACATTCATACATTTTACCTAGTATATATAGAAAATATTGAAGTCTAAACTGTAACCGAAATCTGGGTATAAACTGTAACAAAATCGGATACAAATCGCTAGGTCTATTGCTGTAACCCTGCACAAATTACCTCGCTCTATACTGTAACATTGTTTATTTTTTCAAACGCATTTAACGAACAGGAAAATAGGTTCAACTGGTCATTTACTTTTATAAACGTTTCCTAACATAAAGGACTAACGTTTTGAAGATTTACTTTTTCTAGGCATGCATAAATAATGTCGAAATTGCAGAAAAATGCGTTGGTCTCTCGATTCAAATTATTCAAACTGTCAAATCTGCATATTTATGAGACAATATAGCGATAAATCTGCGGCGCAGGGTCTGAAGAAATATATGACTAGATACCGGATTCTGTTCCTTACAAGCAAAGCACAAAAACATCTTTTAGAAACTAAACTTCTTGTAGTATGGACCGGAATAAAAATCACCTACCTGTCCTCCCAACAAATAATCCTCCATCTTGAAAATTCTATACTGTAACCGAAAAACGCGATACTGTAACACGTTCCCTACGGTGAAGGTAGAAAAATGTAAATATTTTAGTATTTTGACTTCCATATACTTTAATCACTATGATTATACCAAATGCCAAACAGCAAATGAAGCAAAAAATAGGTGGTACTTTTTGAAAACTGTAACAGATACCGAAAATATAAAAAAACAACAAATAATTGAAAAATAAGAAAAATACCATTCCGAAGGATTAATGAGCCTTTAAAGTACCATTTATTTCTAGGTAACCTGCTGCATAAGTACATCTTTAACTATCCATCATTAACAATAATATAATCTTAGTCAGTTAGAAACAGTTAACTGTTCCTTGACTAACCTTTAACCCCATACATTGTTATATGCGAGTGATCTTTCTTTAACAAGACGTTTTTAAAGTTAAAAGTTAGATATTCTTGAAGCTCAGATATTGTTATTTATAAATGTACTTAAAAGGATAGCATTTTCCCCTTTTTATTTGTGATACTCGTGCCGCGATTCTTGGTCAAATGTCACATATAAATTATTTTTGTGTTATTTTGTTGGGTTTATTTCTCAAGAATAATACATATGCAAAACGATATATTGCATGCTAGACCTTGTTTTTGTAACTTGCATTGTAATACTTTTTTAATTATTTTATCAGCTGACGACGACAATGAAGATTGGTATAGATACGGTCTTATAGCCGGCGCCTCCCTGGCTCTTATACTGGCAATTATTGCAATCTTTGGCTGTATTTACCAGCGCATGAAATTTGAAGAACTCACGAGATCCATGAAAAAACAACAAAAAAGAGCGCAGCCAAGTGATTCGACGGTGGTAACAGCCATACACCCGAACCAGAAGAGTAAAAATGCCCATGATCTACCAACGGAGAACCCCGTTACCAACACGACCAATCAGAAAGTATGGAGTGTCTCTAATGAAGAAATGGCAAGACAAGGAAGCCCGTTTACTAAGCGATCCCGACAAGTGATGCCAACTAGAAGCAATGTTCGGAGAGGCTGGGCATCAGAGCGTGACCCAGATGAGTGGTAGTGGGTGGTACATGTACATTCAACAGACATTAAATTCTTCAGATGACATCAAAATTTTGCTTTAAATATATTTTTTTACATGAATGATAAATTGTGACACACGTGTTCTGTTTTCCGTCATTTAGAAATGTACAATGTATATAACATAAAAGTAACATATAATTTCTGTAGTGATCTTGTCGTAGAACGATTGGCTAGATCTGTATAATTATATACATTGTATTATAATGTTGCCAAAGATAAAGCTATACTAAAAGTGGTAAAAAGACGCACACATGGAATAAGTGGGAATGGCCAACGCTCTTATGTTGTTTAATTGTTGTCCAAAACTTATGTTTTTTTATGTACAACTACAGAATCCATGTAAAATCTGTAAATTTATTCGTTAATGTTTTGTCTTATGTTTGCTTGTGACTTTGTATCTGCTTTTCGTAAAGAAAAAACCTAACAATAAAATATGATTAAACTAAATCATGCATTATTGACTCTATACAAATAGATCTATCTGTGATAATTTGTACTAGATAAATTGTAGCTTGCATTGTAAGAATATAATTACAATAACTTTTTATATGAATGTATGCTGACAAGTGAAGTAACGATAAACTATTTCATCGGACTCTAGTCCTAATAATCTTACTACGAGTTGATATAGATCATTGTGTTATTTGATTTAGACCTGTCGGCAATATCCCACAATCTGATCTCCTCGGCTATTACGATTCGCAATAGACATTTGACATAACAATGCGACATATTGAAACTTATTTCAGTCACATGGTAAAATAGCGACCTCCATGTGCCACATTCATTTGTGGCAAAAGTGACAGAATATGATACACTTTTATACAGTGGAAGAAAGATTAACAGTGATATTTTAAAATTGATAAAAGCAATTTTCCTTCTAAATCAAGATAAAGTTTGCAGAAGTTGTTGGGAGAGCGAGCGAACTCTGCCTTATTACCCGGGCGGATTGCGTTGTTGTATACATGGTCTACTTCATCCGGAACTGCCTTGGCATTCGGAACTGCCTTGGCTATTATCTATAATAACCTCGGAAACAATATGGATTGAAAGTAGTTCTACCACGTGGTTTCAGATGTAAACAGAAACAGAGATACTGTAAAACGAATGTATATATTTGACATCTAATGTCTGTTCCGGTACTCTTATGCTTGAAAATATGTCTGACAACAATTTGTAATTTAAATATGCCCACTGATGTTCAATTTTAAACAAATCCGACTATATGTCAACAGGTTGGTTTTTTGTACTTTCGGTTTCTACCGTCATAATAATAAATATATAAATAATGTATTGTTTTCTTTTTAACCTATGAATTCACTTATTTTAGGTGGACTTTAACTACATATATTGGAAATAAACTTGTCAACACCTCCCAGCATTAAATTACCATTTGTTTACATGTTTAATTTCTTAGCGTAGGTTAGACCGAAATACCGCATCCGTTCTGTGTATTCATACTATTGTGTTCGAGGTCCTTATCCGAAGACTGGCGGAAAGGGCCGAGTAGTTGCGATTGGGTCTACTTACGAGGCCTCTTATCCAAGAGCCGATATTTTTGCGATTGCAAACGGTGAAATATATAATTTATATATTAATTTTCCGTTATTCTGTTGCCCTCATTTAGACAACGGACAATTATAATAGGCCCCTATGTCTGAAAATGACATACTGCAGGTCTAATTGACCGGCTTGTAATTTCTGCAGTGGTTTTGCCATAGAAACATTTTACAAAAGCAAAAAAAGTAATTAAGCTAGATCTGTACTCTATATATTATACTTTTTTTCTGTTGATATTTTTTGTTGAAGAAGAGAAAATTCGGACCAAGAATGCAATTTTAATTGTCAAAAATGTGAAAATAATTCTAACAGCTGTTGGGGACTTTTAAGACTATAAATTGTTAAAACGTGTTTACTGTATGATTCTACATAATTATCTTGGTGAGCTACTTTTTGTTAGATTGATAACTACCAGCGTGAGAAAATATGAACTTTGATATGCATTATTATACAATAGTTACTTCCCTTTTATTCATGTGCGCCATTTGTAGCAATGTAAACCGGTTTCCAGAAATGATTTTAATATTAAACAAAATGACATAAATCAAAGCCGCTTTGAGTTCTAATCGGAATTAAAAAGAGTAAGGGACTGTGGATGAATATGCTTCAGCATTGGCTAAATTAGTATAATAACTGACAAGCTGTTCTATATAGAAAAGTACTCGGTCAAACTGTTTCTGTCGACGACAATATGAGGTACGACAATTTTGCATACTAGTACATATAACAATCAGTTCGATTATGTTATGTTGCAATTTTTTTTATTTGAAAGGTAGCCCAGCAAATTGTGCGCTTAATGGGCTTTTTATTATATAGATGATGGTTGCCCTTCGCCTGTGTAATATCAGTTTGTAAAGTCGGTCGGTCTTGCAGTGGAAATATTGAGACTAACTTAATATGAAAGGTTGTTGTTCTGTGCGATTTTACTACTTGCTGTGATTAAAGAATGAACTTTGCTTATCATAATTGCTTTGATGGTTAAAGCACAAAAACTTGAAATTCTATCAATATTAATGATAATATCCAAAATATACCCCCTATGCAGTATAAATAAACACATACTGTATAGGGGGTATATTTTGGATATTATCATTGATATTGATAGAATTTCAAGTTCCTGTGATTAAAGTGATGAACGAACCACTGATATTCTGACATCATATCCGATGATGATATTCTGAGTGATTTTAATTAGGAGCATTAAATTTTGTAAACGTACACTCAGTGATAATTATTAATTAGGCCGGATGAAAATGAATTATCTGCCCTTGGAACAAGTAAATTACGAATTAATTTCAATGGCATCAGTTCCAATGGCAGATTATTCAAAAACTAGCCCAACAAATTGTGCGCTTTAGGGCTTTTAATTATATAGATGATGGTCGCCCTTCGTAAAGACAGACATCTATGAAAAATCAGATTATGAAATCGGTCGGTCTTGCAGTCGAAATATTGAGACTATTCAAAAAACCAGATCGGCAACTTCATTTTTTCCCCTTAAAATGAATCTGTTGCCATATTCTAAAACGACCTTTGGTTTAAATAACATATATGAAAGAAATTTTATTCTGTCTAAATGTCTATCTGAAAACTGTTGCGAGCGTCATTATTCAGTAATACAAGTGCTCACTGATAATCTTTTTTTCCATTTCAAAGCATGCAGAGAGAACGCAAAATGTGCGCTGACCTGGCAGCTTTCTACGCTTTAGATTTCACATCCCTGTACAAAGAATTGGTTGATAATACAGTGTTAAGTGCAGCAGTAGATGCAAAAATATTATCTGCCCTCAGTGATTTTTCATCGGAAAAGTTCCAGGAAACTATCAGCATATGTAAAATATTGTTAGATTTTATATGGGAGCAACTCAATCAAGGACATTGGAAAGATGTCAATATAAGTTGGAGATATTCATACACACTTGTTTCAGTTGTAAAAGCTTTGAGTGAATATGTTCTCCTAAGAAATGATGACGATAGATTTAATTTTGACAATATCATGAAGTCTTGTGACATGGGATTATTAATGGGAGCTCCCTTTTTAGATAACATACTTGCTAGGTTATGCACACATCTTAATAGGGACTTTCAGAAAAGTTTAGAATGTGTCAGTGATCATAAGAAGACTGAGGAAAAGAAACATGTTTCAGACTCTGAACATGAAATTAATGAGACTGTTAAACGTCAAAAACTTGTTAAGGATGATCTTGTTGAATCAATGTCTGATGAAAAGTGTATGAAGAGAATTTCGTGTCCGTCAATAGAGACATTTAGACGAGACTTTTACTTGACGGAAACTCCAGTGATCATTACTGATGTTATGGAAGGTTGGCCAGCTCTTGATAACAGAAAATGGACTTTAGATTACATTAAGAAAATTGCAGGATGTCGGACAGTTCCTATAGAATTAGGGTCCAAATACACGGACGATTCATGGTCACAGAAATTAATGACTGTTCGAGAATTTATTGAAACATACATCGAAATGAAGACAAGAGAAACTGATATAGGATATTTAGCACAACATCAGCTGTTTAATCAGATACCTGAATTACAGAATGATATTATTACACCGGATTACTGTTACCTCGGTAACAGCGAGGACGTTGATATAAACGCTTGGTTTGGACCTAAAGGGACAGTTTCACCTGTACATTATGACCCGAAGCACAATTTTCTAGCTCAAGTGATGGGAGAAAAATATATACGAATTTATCCGCAGTCTGAAACAGATAACTTATACCCACATGATACAACTTTACTGAAAAATACAAGTCAAATAGATGTCGAGAATCCAAACTTTGAGAAATTTCCGAAGTTCAGAGATGCAAGTTATGTGGAATGTGTTTTGAAAAGTGGAGAAATGTTGTACATACCACCAAAGTTCTGGCATTTTGTGAAATCGATTTCCATCAGTTTTTCAGTTAGTTTTTGGTGGGAGTAAAGCACATTTGCATATTTTTTGATAACGTGGAATAAGTTTATCGAGTTGGAAGAAGAGAAGAAAATATTGAAGGATTCTCAAATTTTCTGTTATGATATCTCAATTTCTGACTATTATAAAATAAGTAATCCAAGTGACGTAAAAGTTTCACACTTGTATATATGACTCGTATATCATTGGAAACAACAACATAAACTACATTTAATCTTTATTCTATCAAATGCAAATGTGCAAATATACATTGATTTTTATTGTTTCGTTACATAGTGAATGTGTTAATAAAAACATGTATAAGTAAATGTGTCTTGGTGAATTATTATTAGTGTTAATAAAAACCCGTAATATTAAACAAATTCTAGAAGACGACTTCTATATTTCCATGCATGATCATCTATCATTTAAGCCTTAACCTGTTGGAACCGGAAATGATAGGCCTTTGCCACAGTAATAGAACAAGTCCAGCTTGCACGTCCGTACAGTCTGACTACGCTGACTGTTGTCCAACTTCAGATTTTCATCTTGATTTCGCTAAAATTGATAATGGACAGTTCTAGAATAGGGAAGCCGGAAGAGTCCATTTCACAAATTCAGCTGGTTTAGGGTTAATGCGAAACTGAAACTTTGAATTTTAAACAACTTGTTTAGAATTTCAGTTTGTCACCTATTGTCTCTTAAAATAGCATATTTCTATGCAATCTACGTCATCAGTCTCGTATAGAAAAAATAATCTAACTAAAAAGAAACAAATACAATGTATGATATATCTACAATGACATTATGCATTTAATTGACATTGAAAGTCATGTGGAGTTATATACAGTTATATCAAACCTCATATTGAGCACGTTTTGTGGAGGAAAAAAAAACAACTAAAGATATTTTGCATTTTTTTTGCACCTAGCTAATTTTTTTTCAAACATTTTTTCCCATTATATAATTTTTTTTGTTTTTTATTTAGGATATTAGAATTTCACTGTAATTAATATACTTTTGTATCACAATCTGTCTTTTACTTCACGAATAATTATACCAGACTATCGTAGTTTATATACGTAAATTAAACTTTAAAGCGGTCAAAATGATTTGTATATAGATGATACGGTCATCGTCTTATTTTATCATGTAACTTTACTAAAATGTGATTATCTTTTCATAATATGTATGGTTATTGGCATTATATTGCTATCTTAATAGCATCATGGAATAAATGAATGGTATTATCGTGTTTATTATAGTCAGCATGGCATTATGACATCAATATCAGCGCGGCTTGGAATCCGGAAGAGGTATTTCATGAACGCCTTTCCTGTATACGTTACTGTTAGTAGTATCCAATGAGCCACGTTTCTCTTTGTTGATGGCACGGATCATCAAAATAGCAGCAATTATAGCTAAAATCTGAAGCGAAAAAAATAGTTATAGTAATAAAAATAGCTATGTTAACAGGTTCCCTTATTTTACTTCCTTCTGAATACATTTTTGTCCGTATTCCTCAGTCTGTCGAATAGATATAATAAATATAACATCTTGAAAATTAACATAATTTGAACCTATACAAGATAAATATTACTTTTAGGTAATTTAAGTTGTTGACTTAAAAGAGATTAATAATTGTTATAAAAGCTCACCTCAGTTACAATAAGTAGCACAGAGAGGGCAATAGCACCGGCGGAGAAGTTGCTGAACAGCTCACGGAAGGCATTGTAACACCCCTTAAATATAAAAATAACAACTACAATAATATATGTGGCATCACAAGATACAACTTATCAAAGCTCAACATTTATTTGTTGTTATAAGAATCATTAACTCATTTGGTATGATTATGTTCATTAAATAAGAATGTCTGTTGTCAACGGAATATGGCCAAGTTTTTTTCTATGAGGTCCTGAACATAATTTCTACTAGTTCTTATATTTCCGGGGGTTCTCATATTTTCGTGGCGTCATTTCCGGTCGCGAATGACAGCTTATGCAATTGATTTGCCTATCCGAAAAGCAGTCAAATTTTTACCGACACTTGTTTCTATTTAATACTACCGCTAGAATGCGTTTAAAAGAGGTAAACCACATAGAATGGTGATAAATATTCATAATAATGCTCTTGAAATATAGCTTAATTAAAATAAAAACGTTAAATCCCCGAAAATACGGGTCAACGGCATACATAATTATTTAGATTCTTTCAAGTTGATTATTTAGTGACTGTGCATTTCACGTATGTAAACTTTACCCTTGGTCTATATAGCTGTTGTTGCCCGGCCTGTGTGCACAAAGGGTTTCTACCGAACCTGTAGTTTTGAATGGTCGCTTCCTTGCAGCACGAGTACGGGATCTGATCTTGCAGACGGGTCGGGTTCGACCACCAATATGTCTGTAGCGCCACAAAGTCATTTCGGAACGTCGAGATAGGCGATGAACCACAGCAGTCCAACTGTAACAGACGAAACATGGTCATGTCCAAATAATTCAACTACACATTTAAATTCTTATAACGCTTAAAAAAGAACACACCTTAGTAGTATCTAGGCATCATATTTGGTATTAATCAAAGTGACATTATGCTCACCCAGGGGTACAGACGAAAGTCAAAATAAGTTTACATTTTACCATAATTTCTTTCAATTTTATAATTTACTTCGCATTAACGATAAACCATATTCAAATGACCCAGAGAAATTTCTGACAATATCCGTCGATGTTCAATTTATAAAAAAAGGAGTGGAGCAGTCTTTATAATGTAGGCAAATTTATATTTTATCCTAAATATTTTCCAATATCAACTGTTGGTCAATCAACATTATAACAGTCAATCAATTTTAAACACTCAATCTTTTGAAATATATTATTATAGCCAATTCAGCTCAGCTCAATGAAAAAAGAACATTATGTCAGTTTAAGAAGTTAACATAAAATGGAGGGTGAGAAACACTCGCTTATCAAAATAACCTTGTGAGGAACAGGTATATAATATATAATGTTATATTTACCAGTATAAACATGGTATTCCAGCCATTCGAGTAGACATCGGTAGCTCCCTGGACACCATTATAGAACCGAAGTAAGTTGTTAAACTGTTCCTTTAACCAATTATTCGTCTGAAATTATTGAAACGGTTGATAATTGTTTAAATAGAGAGAAATAAAGATTCCCTGAAGAACGCACAAAACGACGAAATTGAAAATGTTGCAGGCTTGTTATATTACTGATAAATCATTATTCGTGAGACGCTAATTTCCGTAGGGTTTGTTGATAGGTCAATCTATGCATGTAAGATCCAATGAAATTTTATTTTGTCTGCTGCACAGTTATTTCATCATGTTATTTGCAATTTACTTTCTTGAAACCACAAAAGTCTGTCTGACACAACCACGAAACAACCACGAAATTTCATGCCCATGGTATACACATTTTTCCAAAATTGTTGCAAGTATCAAAGAAAAGGCTTCTTAAAAGAGTTATACATTCCTAAAGATATAAGATCGGCGAAATTCTTACAAATTTATATCACTGAATAAAAACAGGAAAACAATGTTGCTGTTCAAATAGGATTGTATTCAAATAAAACATAATTTTTATAATTTAATTAACAGACGAAATATATTTTTTCTACCAAAAATGTAAATGGGGCTTATGCATGGTTTGAAATATTATCTAAAATATTAATCACAACTTATGAAAATGTCATATTTTTGCAATGACTAATCAATGAATTTTTCAATGTACACGTACTCCCATCTGATATGATTTGTTCGATGCTTTTTTTAATGTGTATTACGTGAATTTAACATATTAAACGGACATATTTTATATCATGTCACTAGGTGACTTCAGTATATCTGGCACGTACACTTTAACCATCGATTACAGTTTGTCTAGTAATTAACTTAAATGATAATTAATTACATATAGCCAAAGGGCAATAAAATATAGAAAACCTGCCATGTACATAATCTAAATGATATATTCATTAATCGAAGTATTCGAAATGTAAAAATGATGAAATTTGTTTTAAGAAGTAAGAAAAGTCAATGCGTAGAATCTGTACACGCCTTAATGGTATGTGTGACACAGACTTATATCAGACATCTAAAGTCTTGCGAGTTTTACAATGTAAGTTATAAAAACTCGTGTCACATGAGTCCGCACATGGCTGAATTTTTCTCATATTCATGACCGTAAATCACATTTATTGTTTCACTTCACATTTTATTACACCTCATCCCATTGCAATGCATTACACCACATCACATTTCATTACACCGCATCCCATTTTACTTCTCCGCATTACATAGCACCACATCACATGTTTAGCACCACGACATATCTTATTGTACCACATCACAGTGTATTGCATCACACAACATCACATACAGTTGTATCGTAGTATCGTTTTTCGTATAGCATATTTTATATCTGTTATATGGTTTTATATGCTATTCTAAATATATATTGAATGTTCTCTTTTAAACATGTTTTTAATTTGACAATTTGATAAATGGTGTTTAGTATATTTCATTTTAAACAACACTTACCCCAAAGTAAAATTTACACCAGAGAATGAAAGCGGCCAACTCGATGATCAGAATCAGTACCAGGACAATGACATACTGAAAATATATTATGTTCTTTTATTAGATTTTAAAGCTGTACGCCTCCAGATAAGCCCAAATATTTTAAGAAATTCAATCTTGAGAAAAAAAAGTAATAAGATTTTAAGGAAAGTAAATATGTTAATAATTCGCATGTTACTTTGGATCTAAGACTGGTTTTGCAGTATTTATCATCATATTTCTCTGCGTGACTAACTTTTACTTACTTTCACCTCTTTTAGGTAATTTGGGTGGTAGAATTTAAGTGCCGATTAGAATATGTATTTTGTTGTGCACTTCAAAAGAATTTACTTTTAAAATTCATTTTCCAAATTTTCATCAAAATGAGCATGAATCTGGAGGCGTGCTGCTTTCAGTACTTCAAAAGATAATAAAAGTTGGACCACGTGACTCATTTTCAGTCCAATGCTGAATGCACTACCAAGGACGATCCCTAGTTAGAAAATAGTTAGTCAGGAGCAGTCAAGTTGAAGGAAAAATCGGCCTTCAATAAACAAGTCAGATGGATAACAGATATAAGGTGGATATCATCCTTTTCTGCATTATAAAGATGTCCACATTTATGAGGATTAAAATTCAAAATGATGAGAAATACTAATATATTGCTGTAATAAAATGGTCCTTATGCTATATAGACCGTTGGAAGACCATATTCGTAAACTGCTTATTCATGGTGAATGTATATATTTTTTTTTTATAAAATATCATTTATATATCGTCATCTAAGTGCAGTAGCTATTACTTTTAAATAGGACCTAACTCGTTACTGTACTAATGTATAATTGCTGCGCATCTACAGGATTCCACTGTGCAACTTTAATTTCATTTTTGTTTACAAATGAAAACATCGACTTGTTTCTTAAAATAAAATACTTTTCTTTTTATTTTTTTTTTCTGACCACATTTTAAGAATGCCTAAATCGGTCATGGATGAATTTAACATTATTGCCTTACAGATCGATTGATTTAACATTTGCTTAAAGATCTTCTAAACAAAGTTAAATACCACAACTAGAAGTCCTTTCTTTCTAAAGCAGGCACCAAAACCACCGTCGGCCGACACCAATAGGGTAAATACACCGACGACGATTATGATTGCCGACAATGCCACGATAATATCACCGAGGTTAAGACCACCTAAGGTTCCCTGTCGGAGCATCTGTATAATTCTGTTGTCGGCAACTCCGCGGTTTGAACGCACGACCACACCTAGCACGATCATCCCTATACCTAAAATCTGAAGGAAAAAAAACAAAACAATTTCTGCATTCAAAATGAATCTAGGAAAAAAGGACAGTTTGTATAAAATAAATGCATATTAGAAAAACAGCAATTGCTATATTCAAAAATGAATCTAGGAAAAAGGCAATATTGAATAAATAAAAAAAATCTTAGGAAAAACAGCGATTTGTGTTTACAAATGAATCTAGGGAAAGGCCTTTTTGTATAAATAAAATATATCTTAGGAAGAACAGCGATTTGTATATTCAAAATGAATCTAGGGAAAAGGGAAATTGGTATATATATAATCAATCAGAGTGAAAAAGAAATTGGTACATGCATATTCAAAACATATCTAGGGAAAGGACAGTTTGTACACACAAAATGAATCAGGGGATTAAACGAATGAAAACTCAAACTAAAGTATGAATATATATTTAAGATTCTGAGCAAAAGGGAAAATGATACATTTAAAACTCCAAATGGTATAAACAAAATACTTCAATTAGTGTCTTCTTAACTATAGAGATGCATGTGGACAATTCATTTGTCATGATATAAGTTTTGTATTACAGAATAAGAAGGATTAGCCATAAATATTTTAATTTGAAATGATATTATTATTTAAAGAAGGTAACACATGAAAATATAGCATCATACAAAACATGTGTCATGTCAAAAGGCTCCAGATGAGCCAAAATGATTCGAGAAAATCAAACATTAGAGAAATGTACTAAGAATTTAAGAAAAAAGACTCGAGTAATGATTTACATGTTATGTGCGATTATTATGAATGACTGAATTTGCAGCATCTGTTGCCATATTTCTACTGCATGACTAACGCTGTAAGGGCTATTTTTGTATATTTTAGACCACTTTTTGGTAATGTACGTGGTTTGCAAGTGCCGTTTGCAATGTGTAAATTACTCTCTTTGTACACTTCTTAATAGTTTACTTTTTAAAAAAAAATCAAAATTTTGATTAAGATAAGTCTGAATCTGCAGGTATGCTGCTTTCATTTCAAATGTAGCCTTCTAAACAATATAAGGAAAACCAACATCACCAAAATACAATAACAACTATTATAATGAGTCAATTTAAAGTACAACGTGTGAATTACGCACATGAACATTTTTCTTATTGAGCGTATCTTATTCATGCTTTCGACTTCAATTTATATCCCACATTATTCAAAACTTATTAAATAATGAAATCATTTTCTATAAAAATTGCACAATGGGACATACATCTGAACCAAAATATTTGATTTGTAAATGTAAGTAAAAGTTTTCAAAAGCTTCTAAAATAAAGGTTTCAGCGTCATAACGGCGCCTCTAGATATCTTCCGGATCATCATATTACTGTAAAAGTATTACTATGTAAAACTATCTCTGATCTCCTTTCATCGTATGGTGAAATTGTTTTATCAAGTTATCAAAATATATACTAGAATGTTTAACATAAAAGACACAATCATTAGCTCTTTCCAGTATTCACATGTATTTGTAAACCTATACAAAAAGTTGTCCTCTTTTTTTTACATTTTTATAAAAATTAATGATGTTAACTGATATGTTTTTCACCTGTCATGTGACAATGTTAACAAGACAATGTTCATACATGTATGTATTAGTGTGTTAACAAATATCTGTTCTGTTCTGTTCAATATCACACTATAAGATAAGAACTGCAATGTACTAGTATATTACAAATAATTCTTTAATTACAAATCTGGCCAATATAACACAGATCGACAGAGTTTTAATTAAAGTGAATTGGTCTATAAATGGAAGGTATGTAATACAAAAAAGATATTATATTGATAACACTAATGAATGCTGTTAGCATGTTTGAGATATATAATCCATTACTACATATATTTATTTAGAAGATTATGTTCTAGAAAATCATATACTTTTCTTCTTCTAAATCACTTAAAATAGAGAAAACGGAATCACTAAAGAACGCCCAAAACGACAACATTGAAAATGTTGCAGACTCGGTTTGATTGGGCCTGGTCATGAACGGTACTGGAAAGTGCAAGTTACCGTCCACGCCACCTCGCACCGAATTTATCAACATTTTTACAAGATACAATTTATAAGAATATCAAAATGATACATTTAAAGATACTGTTTTTCTTGCCAATATTAAAAGAAAAAAAAACTATATAAAAATTGTGACAATTGTAGACCAATCCACTTTCAACTAATTTAAAAGGATTTGTACTTACAGCAAACCAAATGTTTACAACTATAAGAAAACATTGGCCAAATCGGCCCGCAGCCCCAAAGTCTCGCATCCCCATCTGATATCTTCTTTAATTCTGTAAATAGATTTAAAATTATATGTAAAATCTTTATTTGTATGAATTCATGTACATATATATATTTTGTCAGTCTTCAACTAGAAAATGATATTACTTTTTGTGAGATATATACGAATTCGAAACAATTGAAATTTCAAAGTAAGTAATTGTATCAAATGTTAAATATTATATTAAAGTTAAACTTACATTTATTTTAAGATAAATTTCCGAAACTAGAAGAAAATAAAAGTCCTTTTCTCGAAAACACTTTTTCTCAACGAATGTGAATGAAGTTGCTCGGACGGTAGTAAAATTTCAAATATGCAACAGGCGATTAGACCCGACCCTAATACAGGATTACGCATCTAGGAATGTTAAAAATGAAAAAACAAATCAATAAGGCCCTACCAGATACCTGTCAGAAGCAATTCAATTAAGATGTTATTATAGCATATAATATATGCAGAAAACAGTAAAGTTCATAAGACCCTCGGGTGCGTCTCATAAGGGGATCGATCATCGATGACAGCTAGGGGTAGGACAGGGTTATTTACATCGGTCGCCCGTGACTTAGATTGATGAAGCTCACTCCAAGTTTTCTACAGTTTTAAGTTATGAGCAATATCCGACCTACATATTTATTTTGACAAGCGTAAATCAAACTCATTTTGTGGTACAAAATGATACATGTATCTTACTTCTAAATTATGTTTGTTATTAATTTGTTTTAAATCATGTACATAGGATAAATGTTTTAAGTTGGTAAATGAACGAAGGAGCCATAGTTAAATTTTTGTCCGTCATCTTACCAGAAGGAAACCCAACACAAATATGTAATTTATTTCTCTTTTTCAGACGCTATCTACTACAATTGATCCGACAAGCTGAATTGAATGTAATTCACCACTATGCTTAAGTTACTAATTTAAAGACTGGCATATCTTATTAAAGTAACATTTAGCCCCAAATAATAGTAAATAAATAGTGCATATTAAAGCTGAATGCCCCCTGATGAGCCCAAAATATTTAAAGAAATATTTTCAAGAAAATCAAATTTGAGAAAAAGATAACAATTCTTAAGAAAAGTAAGGGGATTCAAGTAATAATTTACATGTAACGTGCGATTAATGAATGAGTTTGCAGTTATTTTCAGCGTTTTCTATACTTCGTGATTAACGTTGTAAGGGCTGTTTTGCATATTTTGACAATTTTTATATATATTTTTTATTTGTTATTTACATGCATTGAAAATGCCGTTTGTAATGTGTTAAGTACCTTTTTGTTCACTTGACAATTTTTTTTTATAATTCAAATTGCTTGTGAAAATTAGCATGAATCTGGAGGCATGCTGCTTTAACGGTTTTATTTTTTCGCAATATGTTCCTTTTTTTAGTATAGTTTCCCTATTCTTAGCTATATGTGCAAATAGTACAAAGTTTAGTCAATTATATTTTAAGCGAATTTTATTTATTGAAAATTTTTAACTTCAAAACCAAATTTTAAATGTTGTCGAATACAGACCTTGGAACGTTTTTCTTTTCTTTTTTTTTTCTCTTCTTTTTCCGTTTTAAGCAATATAAAATATTTAACTTAAACATATCTTAAATGGAATTGTTCATCATTCAGTACAGAAAAAAAACATTATAATTTTCAGGAAAATTTGAAAATACATGTATATACTGACTGAATAGCAAATAGTGTAGACACTAATAAAACGGCACGGGTGTGCCGGCTTATATTGTTGCATTGCCACAGGTTACAAGTTTAATCTATTAGTCATCGTTATTGAAAACTATATGGCGACAGCTGCACACCATATGCCAATGAAATATTATTGAAAGAATTCAAAAAACACAAAAGAACATAGAACAAACCAAATGCGAAATGGCGAGAGTATATTATATAGAAACAAAGCCGAGCTAGAAATGCTGAACTTAATTTAGCCGACATAGTTTCTAAATTATTTCGTGTATTTTATACAACCAACACTTCCTAATGTTAAAATTAAATGTTAAAATAATGTGCGGCTTTGAACCAACATGAAAATATATAATAATACATAATCTTCTTTTATTCAGGTGTAAAGTTTATTATTTTTGTCATCATCAAGTCTTATTTTCAATGAATCTAAAGGGGTTTTTATGGTACTCTTCACCGTGTCTAAGACCTGTTCACACCATGTTAACATACTTTTAATGACTATGGCTTTTGATTCTTACAGCAAAAATGAAGGTACGACAAACTGAAAATGACCAAAAAAGTTAAAGTTACGTTCATATAGTATGGTTTAGTGTGTGCCTCATTTTCAACTACGTTTAAAAAATCACTTTTATGGAAAGATTCATTTAGATTTGATTCCTAAATAAGATAATTCATGGATACTGTAAGAGAATCATTCCGATTCATTTCTTGTTCTGCATTTGAAAATATTTATTTTCTTATACAATGAATATATTTTTGAATTATTTTACTTTAATTTCTACATAGTAAAAGATACAATTTAATTGGTTTAGCCAACATTTTAAACTTTACCTTATAAATCTTGCTTTATGATTGTCTCATTGGCACACATTGTCCTTATGGGACATGCTTTCTAAATGGTAACAAAAAACTTATTTTGTCGCGATAAAAAATAAAAATCTTGCTTTTATTGAATAAACAAATGTATTATCTATATATTCCTATAAAGAAATTTGGTAACCTTAATCTTGTGAACCTACTCATACTTTTAAATGTGAGAAATATGACACCACAATAACATCTTCAGCAACAACTGATGGGCGCCATCTGGATTTAGCGAGTGACGTGACGATTTGTGTGTTCTATGAAAACAAAATGGCGGACACAGTGGCATAGTAAGGTCCTTTGGAACTACGTCGGTGTTGGATAGCCACTCTTCTATAAGTCACGGTAAATATTTTAGATACATCCATGAATGTTGTTGAATAGTTTTCATTAGTAAAACGTTATTTGTGTTAAATTGTAATTTGATTTAAAAGCAAGTTATATATAAATATTGGTTACTACAGTTGTTAATAAAACTTTGCAGTAAATTTTAAAGGTGTTTTGAAAATGAAACTGATTGAAAGTTACTCTTGTTTCTTGTGCGTAGGTAAATGGTTATATGAAATTTTTAAATCCCAAGGAGCACGTAAATAATGACACAATGATAAGTAGGATAAATTCTACAAAAATGAGGAATTTATGAATTTATAAGAACCTTTTTTCAATATTGAGGAATATATGAATTTATAAAACTTTTTACAACAATGAAGAGTATATGGATTACAAATAATGAGGAATATGTGAATTTATAGCAACCTTTCACAAAAATGACGACTTTATGAATTTTTAAGAACCATTTACAAAAGAGAGAATAAGAACCTTTTACAAAAATGGGGAATATATATATTTATCAAAACCATACGATTCTTACAGATGAAACTGGTCATATTATCACTGCTGGCTTTATGTTGGACCTGCAATGGTATGATAGAACATATTCCACTACCCGGTGGTCTGCTCGATTGTTTCTCTCGCTATTCACAGAAGACAAACGTAGTTGACACCGTCGGAGAGTCCATTGCCTCGTTCTGTTTTGGACAATACATGTGGCAAGCTTCAAGAGAACAAGGACTTCCCGGCTTCAATATAACCAGAGAGGTATTGATGTCATTATATTAATCTCGATTGACCCCCACACACCTCCAAAAAATAAAAATACTAATAATGATAAATAAATAATAAAAATAATAATGAACATACTCCGAGTTGAATAATATTGTATTTTAAACAACTCAGAAAAATTATTCGTAAAAAATGAAATAATTATGTGGGTACTTGTTTCTACCTTATTGAACTGCAGTTACTTTTGACAAGACAAATTGAATGTGCATTAGAAGTAAAAATTGTGAAACAGTTGAAAGTGATTTATTGTTCAATTTTCTTCCATCACCCCTGCTAAACGGTGACTCGCATTTAATGACAGCCCTCGACACGTTCGTTATAGAGCCCTCGACCAAAATAGCGCTGAAAAATGTAAACGCAGTTTTTAAAAATATCCTTTTTTTTAAGAATATGCCTGTCTTTTTCTTTTTTTTTTTCAAAAATCGAAGAATGCTTTGCCACGTAGAATGTTTTTCTCATCATGAAATACCCCAAAATGACGTTGCTATAACTTTTTCAAAATATTAACTTGTGTGTTTTCTTACACGAGGAGACATATCTTGAGAAATTTCTCAACCATCAAGTTCATGTTGACCCGCATAATCTTGCTTGTATCATTGTGCTTACCTCCCCTTTGGCGGAAGTGTCGAGGGCTCTCATTTAATCAGATCACAAAATGTGAAAAAGCCAGCGTTTAGAAGGGGTGTCCATATAAGGCATTTGCACACCAAGATGCTACAAGGATAGGTATACCTCTACAGTTCAGAGCTAGCCGAAGCTACTCTATGATTACTAACATGTAGAAATGTTTTATATAGCTTGTTACAAATTTTTCTAAATTCAATGAAACACAAATATTTGCAAAGTATTAAATGCATAGAAATGTTAATAAAGAATGCCACTACTATTAAAGAAGACGGGCAGTGCTTTATAGGGACTCCACTGAGTTTTTGTTTTTTTTACATGAAAGAACTGGAAATAATTTTGAGATTAATGTTCCATTTGATGTAGTTCAAGACCAATAACTTGTGTGCAATATATCAGATCAGATGCTCACTTCGTAGCCCCAAAATATTAATAATAATTCTAATTGTGAAAAATGGCCCAAAATTGAAAAATGTTGCAATGTTTTTTATTCAAATCGGGCAAAAAAGCACAAAATACGATTTTCAATTTATTTCTGAGTATTTTTCTTAACGATCATTTCAATATATTTTTGTTTAAAGTGTCCAAACTGATCTAAATAGGAAATTCAAATTTTATGGTTTTAGAATTTTGGACCTCAGTGGAGTTCCTTTAATATGACTAAGGTTGTTCTTTTATTTCACGACACTGTATTTTACACGTTTTTAAAACAAAACATTTTCAGAACCTTTCCAAAAGTAACTGTTCTTTAAAATTTTAACAACGAAATCATGTCAGGTTATGCTTGTTAACTTAATGTGTCATGATAAAAATATTTCACACTTTCTTTGACGAAACATTCGGACATAGTCTGTAACATGAAAAAAAACATGTTACACACATCTAGTTCACGTGTTCATTTGTGCTGCTTCTAATAGTTACTCAGGTGAAAGGAATAAACATGTGATATTTATAGAATTCATAGTTAATGCCTTAATATATTTTATTTTCAATTTCAAAAGTGTGTGTCGATATAATACCATTTATTAAGTATAACTTCTTCCAACTTGTAGAAGTGTCCGGGGTCTCTTAACTATGTACAAATGGCACCCAGAACCCAAATTATTTCTTAATTGAACGTATTTTAAAGACGGTTGATATCTTTTAACTAGCTTTAAAAATGCAAAAGAGTAAATAAACTTGGTATAGAAAATAAAACGTTTAACTTCAGTTGATATTTGCCTACCGTTTCGAACTTAATGTTCTTAAAAACATTAAATTATGGTGAAATGCTAGAAAAAAGGAAGAAAGGAAAGATATGATTGAATTTATCGAAGTTTAATACTAAAGATCAACATGTAAAGAAATATGATCGTACGGAAAGACCAAGTTTATCCACACTCATAGTAATTCAACAATCAATTAGTCTGTATATTCAGAGCTTACCTCTAACCGCAACATTTTTGTATCTTTATTGTATCTTTTGTATCTTTTGTATCTTATTGAAAAGTACTTTTACTGGAGAGGAATTGATATAAGTATTGTTTTACTTATTTTCCAATCCAGTCTGAATTACATTGTTGTGCAATGTTTGTAAAATGTCATTTTATGTACAATTTATTGAATACATAAAGTTTAAACTAAAAATTATGTACTACCATTTCATTGTCACACCAAGCTATCAATATAAGAAACTTTATAACCATATTAAACTAATAGATGACCTGTACATGCTAGCAACATTTGTTCAAACTTAACTGATATGATATTTTAATCTCATGTTATTTACAGGCATATAATTGGGTACAAAGTCTTCTCCCAAAGCCACCATCTCGCAGACATGTACGCCAAGCGGTTTCCCCAAATCTCAGAATCAGAAAAGAATACCGGCGTCTTACCGATATGGAACGCGCAAACTTTCATACAGCTATACAGTTACTCAAGGCTGATACGGTACGATGAAAGAAGCAACAAATTTTCATATCAATATTTTAACCTTTATTTTATGCGTATACAAAGAGTTATTTCATTTTGTGGATAATGAGTGAAGCTGCTAGTCAGTGTTTTAGTAAAAGTGTGCATTTTTTGCCAGTATGATCATACTTATTAACCGAGGGATAGCAACTATATCTCAATTGTCACAACAGAAATTTGCTGAGATATTCCATATTGTGTAATATTTCTTAACAGTAACAACAAATACTTGTTTTTTTATTTTAAACTACGAAATAATGATCTAAGATGACTTCTGTTTGTCTTTCAGTCGGTGGCTCCCTCTATGTACGACGCCCTCTCTGCTATTCACCAGGGAATGATGACTCATTCAGCACACGGTGGTCCTAATTTCCTTGGTTTCCATAGAGTATATCTTCTAATGTAAGTGTCTAAGATTTAAAATATTGTTTACGTCTTGTCATTATTGATTTTTCCTAGTTTTCTTTTCTATCTTTGAAAATATAACAAAAATTAATGGGGCTGCTAATTTCATAACAGAGCACCGCATGTAGGTTAAACGCTCGTCTGTTTAAAATTCTAAAGTAAAAAGGGGCATTACTCCAAAAATATTGCTTTCAGAATAATGCCCATTCGATCATAATAGCCCGACTTTTTCTTCGGAACAGACGAGCTAAAATGGTTTCAAAAAAGGTTTTAATAAATTAATTTTTAGCTCGACTATACGAAGTATATGGAGAGCTGTCGTACTCGCCCAGCCGTCGGCGTCCGCGTTCGAGTCCAGATTTCAGATTAAAGTTTTGGTGCAGTAAAATATTTTTCACTATAACTTTTTCATTTCTTAAGGTATCAACTTCAACTTCAAATATCTGTTTTTTATCATCAAATTCATCTAATGTGATAAGGTTTATAACTCTTGCACCAATATTTTTAGATTTATCTCCCCTTGAACTAAAATTTTCCTTAAACTATATTTTTTTTTACTATTACTTTTTCATTTTTTAAGGTATCAACTTTAAACTTCAAATGTTTGTTTCTTATCATCAACCACATCTTATGTGACAAGGTTCATAACTCTTGCACCAATAATCCAAGAATTATCTCCCCCATTAACTTAGATTTTTTACTATAAAAATGTTATTTTTCACTATAACTTCTTTAGTTTTAAAGGTATCTACCTACACATTTCTTATCATCAACCAGATCTTAGGTGACAAGGTTAATAACTATTGAAGCAAATTTTTTAGATTTATATCTACCTATGAACTTAGAATGTTCTTTAAAAAATATTATGACTTCTTAACTTTTTAAGGCATCTTCTTCAAATATATATTTCTTATCAAGTTGTGTGACAATGTCCGTAACTCTAGTGTGACTTTTTCCAGAATAATTCCCCTTTGAACTTTATTTGAATTTATGTTAACAACTATAACTTATTGTCATAAGAAGAAATATATTTATATCATTATTGATTTTTCTTTCATAGTTTTGTCTTCCTTACTGCGTCCAGTATTTAATAAGTCGAGCTTCGCTGTCTCCTGTCACAGCTCTTGTTTATAATATGTTGAAACCAGAAGGAATACTAACAGTGTAGCAATACCATGTGACCATGACAAATATTGCTCGATTCGAAAAAGAAAATGTCCGTTAGTATTTTATTTCTGTTCCAATTTCTTTGGGATATGCACCAGTCTACGCGGAAAATTATAAGCTTGCCACAGAACATTGGATTTCCTTCAGTATATGAGCCCTTTTATCAAACACTTCGTATAAACTGAAGTCCGGTCTTACACAAACAACTTTCATGGTAATACAAAGTGTTTGATAAAACGGCTCATATACTGAAGGAGATCCAATATTCTGTGGCAAGCTTATATTTTTCTCGGTAGACTGATGCATGTCAGAAATAAGATACTAACGGCTATTTTCTTTTTCGAATCGAGCAATATTTGTCTTGGAAATAATGTCGAAAATGACGTTAAGGTCACGTGGTATTGCTTCACTGACTTAAGTTTGTATGACTTAATGAACAGATAGTTATTGCAATTTATTCTGTTAACACACTTACATATACAACATGTATTGTAAAAAGTTTTAATAATACGTAACTTTACATTATAGTTCGAAATAATTATAAGTAACTTGGAAAGTTCGCATCTAGGCCATGACCCATTTTAAATTACCTTTCAATACTTGACATTCAAATATATATTGTTTTTAGGTTTGAGAATGCCCTACGGACAAAAATCCCTTCAGTCACTATACCTTACTGGGATTCTACTTTAGATTCAGCTTTGATCAACCCGACACAGTCAATATTGTTTACAGACTCTTTCTTTGGTAATGGATTCGGAATGGTAAACACTGGACCATTTGCCGGCTGGAGAACACTATCAGGGCCTCTCATAAGAAATATAGGTCAAGCTGGCTCGCTCTTTCATGCTAATGATATGGCACGGATTGTGTCTAGCATAAGACTCGTACAAATAACCGAGCCGAACGCTGCCGTAAATTCAAGTTTAGAATTCTTGCATAATCAAGTGCATTTATGGGTTGACGGTCAAATGGGTTCGCTAGAAACTGCAGCGCATGATCCTATATTTTGGCTTCATCATTCATACGTGGATTACATATTTGAACTATTTAGACAGAATCAACGAAGATTTGGTATAGATCCCACCTCAGACTATCCAGTTTTTGTAAACAACTCAATGCATACAGCAATGTATCCCATGGGACTGGCAGGATTACGAAATATTGATGGGTTTAATGACCGGTTCACAAGTATGATATACCAGTATGAACCGTCACCTGGATGTTCATTGAATTTTCCGGATTGTGGGTCGCCATACCTGAGATGTGTCGTGGCCGGTTTTCAGTCAAGATGTGTATCATTAGATTGGTATACTATTACTTTATATTTGTTTTTTTTCCATTTTAGATAACAATACTCCGGTGTAAGTTTTAAAGGTTTAAAACCAAATTTAAGCCATCCAAACATTATATTTATTAAGATTTTGCTATCCATGACATGGACATTTTACAGGTTTAACTATACATATAATAATCTATTGATGGACCTTGTAGACATAACTTTCATTTAAACCGTTGTAAGACATATTTAAATCGTGTTATGACCTTTTAAGTACGGGAAATGTGCACCGACATTAAATAAAATACACCTTTTAATGGGCTTTGTTAATTCTTAATTGACATGGAGCTGTTTCTTTAAGTTTTATTTATGTCCATCGTTTTATTTTTTACGGCATGTTGTTGATAAAGTACACGGTATTTAATCCAGGACTGCCGCCCCACGTGTTTCAGCAATCAGGCAACAGCTAATGAACCAAGTTGTACAAGAACAGCGAATGCAAGCCGTGGCAAGACTTAGCATGATGAACGCTGCACGTGCACAGCAAGCACAGGTTACCATTCAAAACCAGATGAGAGTGAGTCAGCAACAAAGATTATTGGCGGAAATGCGAAGACAACAAGCTTTAACTAAAGAAAATGAAAACGCTGGATTAGACGATCCAAGTGAACCTACACAAGTACAACGTCGTTCCATACAGCGTCGTTTTAAACGCCAACTGAAGTTAAATACATTCAAGTATTTACCAGATCCTAGAGGTAGCCAATTCATGAAAGGGAATCTGAACATCAATTCAAACATTCAGTTTCAAATGTTACCTCAAACAAACCAGAATATGCCAAGCAATGTTCAGAACTCGACTGATGCTCCATATATATCACCACCTGTAATGCCTGCAGACATGTGCCCTGTAATACCAATGGCACAAGGCTATCAAAATACTTTTAATATGAACGGTAGAAGTGATATCAAGCAATGGGTTTACATACCGGTCAAAGTCATTTATCAAAGACCACCGACCTTTAACAGTTACGATTCATATCCAATTGTCAATGGAGAAGTGGAGGCTGAAGATATATACTCACCAACCGCTTTCAGGACCATGCAAAATGTTATGCCAAAAGGAAAGCCTGCTTCATATTCCCATTGCCAAGCTCAAGAAAGCGGAGCAGGGAAAGTTTATATCAGCTCACAGGGCATGAACTACATGGGTACATACAAGGAATACGCTGTCGTCGATCATAGACTTGCAATATCTGTTGCAACTGCATACGTAGCTGTCAAATCTCCCCAGTTTGGAGCATCGCAGGTATTCTTGAATGCCTATGATTCTTGCGGAAGAATATGTCAACCTTTCTGTAAACTTGCTGGTGCACAAGGATTCCAGAGGTGTTCGGGCGCATTTAGGGTGACCTCATCATTTCCAAAGCTTTACGGCACCAATTATGGTGATGCTGTGACACACCTTTGGCAATTTGGCAAAAATGATATATGTCCAACAATGCAAGATGACAGTATATATATTCAGTTCCATTGTAACTTTAAAGAATCGTGGCCATTTGGTATGCAACCCCAACAAGCTGCTCGAGGGCCAGGTGCTGCTGCTTTTGATGAAATCGAAGAGCCAGAGGTATCGAAACAACCAATTGTATCGAATGGACCTGTCAATGTAAATCCAACAGGTAACATTAATATATTGATAGAACAATTTACTGTCTAAATGCGATGCTATAAAAAGATTCTCTGACGCTTTTTAGCCTAAAAGTATATACAAGAATATCAATGCTCGTGTCTCGTATTGCAATTTGTACTGTTATTAAATGGTAAATTTAAAAGAAGAATATAAATTGCAATGCTCAAGTCTTTTGTTTTGTTCTCAGAAATTATTTTAGACATAACATTACTGGACAAGTCAATTTTCCGTTTGGCAAAAATCACTCGCTGCTTTGTACTGGTTGGTTCCAGGAACGGATCAGAGAGTTTTTTCTTTAACTTGATTCTAACTAAATTAATTTAAGTAGATAATTATTACTACTTATCAGGAAAATAGGATATTATTAATTATTCATATTTCATTTTTAGCATGCCATATTGGAAACGGATGTATGCTTTCAAAAGGATGTAACCAATGTGTAAATGGCAAAAGATATAAATGTATCGGCACATGCGCATTGTATACTTCCTGTCAAAATGGTGCCCACCACATCCAGAGCTGTCCCGATAATACTATATTCGACCCAGATGATTATGTGTGTGTGCCAGGCATGTGTCCTAATAATTCAAAGGTTTGGTGGCATGCTTCAAATGTGAATGTGTGGAAATAAAGGACAACCATCGGACATTTAAAACTGAGTTGTTTATAATTTCAATGCGTATTGAAAATAAATTGATATAAAAATCTACTAAATCACATTTTTGATGATGATAGTATACAAATGATGAAAATGATATACACTGAACTAACCATTAAAATGAATTTTACTTGTATGTCGTATTTTTTAATTAAATTAACACTTGACAGATCTTTTTTTTTATAATATATGTCAAGTTTTTTCGTAATCTAAGTACTATACAGATACTTTCATTTATGACCTGATTCAAATTGTCGCCCCTTGATGACATCATTTGGTGATACGATGGGCATTGCCAATAAATAAAGGGATATGAACATCTAAATCCTTAATCTGACATTCGAAGTGAATAATTCATCATTGCGTAAAGTAAGGGGAATAACTGTTCCTCCATTGGGTTTCCCCATGTTTCTTTACGAATGCATTGAACATTTTATATGAAGTTTGACGTAGTAAATCAGTCTAGCTAAATATTGGTAGCAAACAAGGTAGACAGTACCTTTTCATTGAAGGTATTTTCTTTAAATACAAAACTGACCAAGTAAATATTTAAACAGAGTTATCATTGCTTTTATACATGCTATATTTATATATATATATATTTTATACATGAGAGTATAAATATAAAAACAATAGGTGCTAAAATGACTGATTATTGCGCAAGAAGAATCATTTACTTGGTTATGAATCTTAAATCACCCTTTTAAGACATTCCACGTAAAGAACACCTGTTTGTTATGTGATTCGTGAAATATTGTTAATTATAGGTTTGTGTTTTTCTTAAATTAATATTTTTCAAAAGACTGAAAAGCGTACTTATATTTTTTGTCATCCTTTGAATGAATAATTCTAACACTTGTATATTCCTGTGCATGAAATAGACTGTGTCTGACAACTGAAATTAGTTAAACTGACATAAAATGTAACAGGTATAAGTGAAAAAAATAGGCTTCATTAATGTAGTTTTTATGTTTTGTGAATGGTTCATCTACAGTACAAATGGACAACAATAAGTCACTATAACCTTAGATATTTACGAAACGCACACACATTCAATTGTATAAGCAATTTTATCTTTAACATATCTTAGTTTTCCTTAAAGACCTATTATGCCTCAGAAATGCGTTAATTTTATTTCTAAAAATCTTCTTATTTTTGGTGTACTTTTATAATTTTTTAAAAAAATACTCATTGGCCAATCACCTTAACCATCTTTTTCATCTATTTCTTTTTCTTTGTAATTAGTACAGTAAAAGTGGTTCAGTATTTTGTTTCGGGAGTCAAAATACTACTTTGCTTACCATTTTGCTACAGTTATGACAAATTATTTCACATTTATCGCTACTTTCTTCATGTTACAAGCATCTAACATACTCTCAAATAAATATTTAAATGTAAAAAAACTCCTATTTGCCCTATGCAAGGAAGTAATGTTTTCCTTTCTGAGGCATAATATGCTTTTAATTAAAGCAATAAAACACATGTAGGGGCGTCCGTGGCCTAGTGGTGAAGGTAGTTGACTTCAAACCACTTGCCCCCCCCCCCACCTCTTTCATGTGAGGAAGCTATCCAGCTAGCTTACGGAACATCGGTGGCTCTACTCAGGTGCCCGTTCGTGCTAAAAAAATGCACGGAAAGGCACCTGAGGTCTTCCTCCACCAGAAAAGCTGGAACGTCGCAATATGACCTATACTGTGTCGGTGTCACGTAAAACCCAATCTTGAAAACAAACAAACAAAATAAAACACATTTAAAGTTGTTTCTTTAAACCTTAACAAGCCACAAATATGAAACGATTTTTTTTCAATATGGACTTAACCATTAATAAATTTAAGGGAAATTTTCAAAAACTGTTTTGACTGAATAGCGAACGAACACTGCTGACAAAAATCCGACGGCACGGTGCCGACAGATCGTTGTCTGCACTTGTCGCACTGGAAGATTTAGTCACTGCCAGCAGGCTATAATTTAATCTAAGTTTATTCAAAACGTGACAGAAAAAGGAAACATTTGAATTTATGGATGTTTGATTTTAGCCAAGACATGCCTCAAACATATGTTGTAATCAATTGTCAATTGCAAATGTCATTGTAGTCTGGTTTTATGCGCTATTAGCAATAAATATGTTTTATTTATCTTGTTAATTATTTTATAACCGACCTTTGACCTAGCAAGTATTAGTAGACAAGTTCGACTACAGTACACAATGCTTTTAGTAGCTCCTCTCGGATACGTTTAAACGATATTTTGGGGTAAAATGCACTGGAATATTTGATATAAGTGGTAAAATCGGATTAAATCGAATTATTTCTGTAAAAGAGTGAAATTTTCAATACTTTTAACTCTGTTTCAACGCATTTTAAATGATTTTATCTTACATGCGTTCAATAATTCATATTGATTTATTTCTTTATTAAATTTACTGGACACAATAGAGACATGTACGTATATTTTCTTATTTACTATCAATCTTCTTTTAATCAAACAGCTCATTTTAATTTCATCATGATAAGCCATAATTCTATAACGATAAAAATGTTCACGTTAAAATACATTTTTCTTTACTATAAGGTTAAACACGACCGATCATGAAAGGAAAATTGAGACTCCTCTCGCCATTACATATGTATTTCGGACTTTTACAAGGTTCAGCTATAAGTCCTGTATTATTTTAACTGTACAACCTTTCAGTTCATTTATCATAAGGTATGGTCACTTAAAAGGTTGATATATATTATGAGTTAGATTTTATTTTTAAATATAAAGATAATATTATTGCGATTCTTAATTAAAATATACATACATTTTAAATATATTATTATTTTACTTGGTTAGGTAACAGCCCTATGATATTTGCTAATAATTTTGAAAATTGCTTTCAATGTGTTCGTGTGAACTCCGCTGCAAAACTTGTATTTCAAAATATTTTCTTAGGACAATTGGATCAAAAAGCAACACAAAATTAAGTATCAAAACATGTTTCGCTTTATTCAGCTTCCTAAGTTGATACATGAAAATATTTTCATGTCATAATTAGAGCTTTAAACGTATCAGTCAATCGTTATTTTAGATAGGGGTCCTCTATCATTTCAATAAGAATAGAAGATAACAAACTGTCCAAGACATATATTGTCTCTAATTCAATCATTCACATTTATGGGAAAGTACTTACAACCATATTACAGTCTTTCCCAAATGACGATATTTAAAATTTACTCATTTATAAATGCATGCCATCTTTTATCAAACCTGAAAAAAACACTGTTAACCAAGTAAATGTAATGCTTAAATAAAAAAAGTAAAGTAATAATGTACACGTCTCCACTCCTTTACAATTTCTTTGATATTTTAACTTTATTACCATCATCACAAGATATTATAATACTTACAAAATAACGCTAGCAATAACGACTTGTTAACCACTATATTTATTGAGTAATAACTTTTACAATTGTCATAAATGAATGTTCAATTACTCAGGTACACTTCCCGACAAGGGAATTATTTTATGTTCACTTTTTGTTAATTATAGTTTGGCAGCACTCCGGCAAAAAATGAATGAAGCAAATTTAATTGCAAACGCATAGCAAATTTTGTTAAAGATAATTGTCATATAAAAGTAATTCCAATTATATTGAAATAATGTTTGAAATATCACAATTTCAATTTCTATTTATTTATTCAACGAAGATCATGCAAGCATGACAACATGGGGAAATAATACAATAACATAATAAATGAGGCTTCAGAATCAGACAGTGCCAATATAACATGATTATATAAATTTCTAACTTAAATATTGCAGGAGAGTCGATATTACATCAAATACCTCAATTGAGTTCTCCACAACAATAATTTATGCAATTTTTGGCTCATTTGAAGGTTAATATAATTTCTTTAATAAAGAAATAAAGTTGTTTGTAATATGGACTGTTAACATTAGTGTTCAAAGGTAGATCAACAGAATGTATATTATGTTTCTTTAAATAGTTAGGTTTTTTAAAAACTAAAAATATAATGAAATTCATCACCAATGGATCTATGACACAGATATAATGAAATTCATCACCAATGGATCTATGACACAGAGTACAGATACGCCTGTTAAGTTCGACGCTATTCCAACTCCCAATTTACATTTGTTTTTTCTTGTTAAAAAAAAATATCATATATTGTAAAAATTGTTGATGTATTTTTTACAAGAAATGTTTCAAAACAAAAATTATATTTAAATAATCTATAATTCGTGCATTTACTGGAATTCTCAATACTACAATACCAATCATTAAAAAATAAATCCGATAAGTTCTGTTTTACTGACTTCGTTTGACTGACAAGGCAACACCTTATAACTAATTGCACTCATTTTGCTGTATAATCACTACAATTAAAACAGTGAAATGTGGGAAACACAATGAAAGACGTCTTACAACAACAACAACAACAACAAAAACAACAACAGAAACATATTTTTTATTCACTCAAACATGCATACAACATGTAATATGAGGATAAATGTCAAAAATCTTAACGAATAAACTAGTACTGCTGTAAACTTAAAGACAAAACCATTTCTTCTGTCACGTGCAAAAAAAATGATTAACAAAAAACATTTGAAGATATTTAAAATCAACAAATACATATTTGTATCTCGCATTGATACTCGTTATCTTTATAAATTCATTTGTTTCACTAGAATAAGCACTCAGCAAAATGCCTAATTGGTTGATTTACATGTTTGGGGGATATCGCTATGGTTAACATCAATTAATCATTGAATGTCCGTGCTCATTAAAATGTTTCATATCAAATAGTGATCAATTTCAAAATGTGTATTTCACTGGTGGAATAGAAGCGACGGTATCAATTGGCATTTTTTGAATTTGGCATATTTTTTATAGTCAAATTAATAATCTATTTTGTAAAGACAATAATTATACCAGTTGTTTATATATTTTGATTTTGTCAGGATATAATAATTTTGATTTCATGCATCGATGTTATTGGTACTTATATTATTATACTATACAAAATAGTTGTTTAAATCTAAGACCAGGACTATGTGGTATCAAATTCCATAATTTTTCTAACCAAAATATTTTTTAAAACCGTTTTTTATAACCAATTCTTTCGGTGTATGATATCTTTACCGATCTTTTACAATGTTTTTCAACACTTTGACTATTGGGTTCCAGTCGTTCTATCTGGACAAACTAATCCTGTTTCATGTTATTAAAACTGCCGTGGTAATTTTAGGATGCATACTCGACGGTTGGCTGAGTTGCTTAAAGCTTTAGTACAGCAGAGTTTAGTATAATGTGGAAATAACACAGGAATTGTGCAAAAGTAACACCAACCTGACCTGTGCAATATATGGCCGTATCAACCAGTAGTATATCAAATTGAAAGAAAATATGCAAAGAGGTATGATAGACAAGGTGGCCACACAAAAGTCGTCTTCCAAATGGTAGTCAGGTGGTCATTGTTACGATTGATCTTGAGAGGCCAACTTTTTCCTTGGATTTTTAATGAGGTTTAAAAAAATGTCGTTAAAGCATTATTTTATGATTAATTTCTTCCAATTTGATATATAAGATCCAGTTTACTTACCGTGTTGCTCGTTTAAAATTCGGTGTCACTTTTGCAGAATTTCTGCGTTATTTTACATTTAACGTTCCATGATGACCGCCGTATAAAAACATCTGTGGATGTTTCTAAATTCAAAATTTCACTATTACCATGATTAAATGTTAAATTCTGCTTAAGCCGGTGCAAGGGGGCATGAACGGTATCTTGAACTTTCCATTACCGCCAATGAACAGACTCAAGGACACAAAAGTTGTGAAATTTAATAATATCCAAGTCATAAAAAGTCATTGCAAACCTTTTTTTTTTAAATTTTGTATTACATCATATTTATGATAACGTAATATGTAATATAAACAGTCTGGTTATTTATCTATAACTTAAAGTAGAACGCATAAAATCATAACTTAGATATATAGAGTAAAAGAAAGGATAAACTATTTGTACAATTTTCTATAAATAGACACAGAACAAAATGTAAAAATAATTATGACATTGTGAATACTACAATACATTCCATGTACAGTACATATGTTTAACAACACAATAAAGACAACAAACATACAAACAAGATTGAGGTAACACTATTTTAAAAGAAAGTCACATTGAAGACTTTATTCGCATCTGTAAAAGATGAACGTTGAAACTCATTTGAACCGTACAAAAATACAATATATTTTTTAAAAGTATATATTTTATTCTCCCTTGCACTGTAGTAAGGCGTTAAAATCTTACCACAGCATATAGAAATAACATTGAATTTAAACTATTACTACTCATTAGGTGCAAAATGTTGAGGTTACTTCTTGCTGTTGCCGCTGCACGTGTAGTTTGTGCAAGTATAGAGGAAGTTCCACTCCCACCAGATATTCAAAGTTGTTTTGACAGGCAGTATAAAAAGGGTAGGTATACGTACTTATGTATCTTTATAAAAAATCCGCCAGGTTAGCTCCATAGGTAAAGCGTTGAACGGTGAATCGGGCGACCCGAGTTTGATTCCCGGAGGTGCAGGTCACTTTCGTTGTGAATTATCATGAAATCCTTTCTACGGTAATTTGCACTGTGCCATTGTTCTGGCATGTACATATGTTGCTTGCGAGAGTGAAGGTCGCTAGTACTGTTAAACTGCTGAACAGCCTTCCATCCCAGGAACGATGCGGCGGTAAATTCAATTTGGCTTACTGCTGTGATCCGGAGTTAAAACTACCAACACCACGATGATTTATCTTTATATTGTTTATATAACTACTACGAATGAGTGTTCGCTAACCACTTCTCATTTATCTTTCAATGGTATTAGATGCTTTATGAGAATCATGTGTCCGTTTTACACAAGGAAGAACGGTGGTTCCACACAAGTTCTTACTCATGACTTAATTTTTCGGAATAATTCATGATAGGATATCCTATAGAACTCGACAGTGACCGTAGAAAAGATTCTAACACAGCTATTGAATTATTCACTTCGGAACGCAATATTTACCTGAACTCATACAGATGTTTTTGAAGAATGCAGTAATTAATATTATTACTGACAAATATTTGTAAGATAAAACCCAATTATCTGCATATACGACTCTTCGATATTTAAATATTCTGACTCAACAAAAATAACAATCGACTAAAATCACTTCTTTTATTTACTCTGTAGGTAATTTGACAGTGCATATTGGAGAGAAGTTACTTTGGCATTGCGTGCATGGATCGCTTTGGACAAGGGTAGGAGCAAGCGAGAAACAGATGCCGAAAGTTGCCATGAAATGGTTTGCGGATCTGATACACACAAGCTACAGGTAAAGATACAATGTAGTCTTCTTATTGAACACCGCCTTTCCTTGTTGATCTTGTTTATCATATTTCTTACTTCTTGCCCAAAAACACATCGAGTTTGGTAATGCCGTATAAAATGGCAGAAACCTTTCGACGGAGGAGAGAAAGATTATCCATCTAGTTTTCTACCAATGATTATCTTCATAGGTTAAAATGAAGACGATAAGTGAAAGTTTCCAATGTCAATTTTACAACAAAATGTGCATCACATTAAGTATTTCTATCTCTGTTTTGATATATCAATGCTTCGTTCCCATCTGAACCATCCTGTAAACGTCCGACTTAAAGGGTTCCAATGTTTTTTATTTATAATTGTCTTGTTATAACATTCTTCAACTCCCTTACATATTTCAGGGAAGCAGAAAAGAGACGTCGTACTCGACGGCAGGCAGTACGTCGCCGCCCTCCAGTAAGACAGCTGAGAATCCGCCGAGAATATCGTTTACTAAGTGATTTAGAGAGACGACTTTTTCATAGAGCAATAAATATGTTGAAAGCTGACAGGGTATGCACTATTCTAATGATTTAGCAAAATGTTTATAATAATCATAGACTCTATAGGAATTTCTTTTTCGTATTCTACTGTTTCTTTTAATCAAATGATTGTGCGAGGTATATTCTCAATATATTCCTTGTGAAAATTTGTATATAAATCAAAATCATGATTGCAAACTGGAGAAAAAATGAAAGTTGTGACATACTCTCATAAATACGTGATCCATTGTTTTACATAGAGGTTAATACTTCGATATAAGGGCTGCATAAAGCAATGTTTTGTATTACAGACTATACCACCAAACAGATTTGATGCACTAGGTCGACTACACGAACTGTTAGGAGAAAGAGCTCACGACGGTCCTAATTTTCTTGGTTGGCACAGATTATTCATTATATTGTAAGTTTATTTTTAAAACATGAATGAAATAAAAACATACCGCGCAATTTTTTACTTGTTTTATACTTTTAATGTTTTATTTAATGTAGATATTTCTATGTAAATAGATCAGCTGTAATATGTAAAGATTCAAAAGTTAATTTGTTGATATATTCATATATTCATATGTTCAATTCTTCATTTGCTTTCTATTTCCATAGAACTATTATATAATGATTTCTGTTACCAGAATTGTTATTTACTTTGCAACAGGGCAGAAAATGCGCTAAGAGAGAAAGTTCCGTCTGTGACCATTCCGTATTGGGACTCAACACTAGACTTACATTTAGTTGATCAAAGAGCCTCTCTGATATGGACACCAGAATTCATGGGAAATGGAAACGGACGTGTGAAAACAGGACCATTTGCTGGATGGGCAACGCCGTATGGACCTTTAATGCGAAATTTTGGTGACGGCGGTACCATGATGAATTGGACCAGTATCCGTGATACATTTAGTAAAAGTCATATAGCTGAGATAACTCATCCACAAGCAGAGCCTATAGCTAATATTGAAGATCACCACGGAGAACCGCATCTATGGGTTGGGGGCCACATGGCACCTCAAGCGCTCGCCGGTTATGACCCGATATTTCTTCTTCTCCATTCATTTATAGATCTTATCTGGGAACTTTTCCGTCGTATTCAGAGGAGACGTGGTATTGATCCAACGACAGATTATCCATTTAGTGACACCGGTCCGCCTGGACACGAATATGACGATCCATCTGGTTTTGGTAATCTTCTAAACAGACATGCCCTAAGTGATATTTTCACAACTGAGATGTACACATATCAGCTACCGCCTACCTGTTCAAACGAAACTCCGACATGTGGGTCTCGTTATATCAGATGTGACACATCTGAAGACAGACCAAAGTGTGTAGCGGCGTCATTATTTGATACCCCACCAGATGAGGTATTTGATGTAAATGAACTGACTCCATTAAGGAAAAGAAGGAATGCTCCGAACACAGATAATTTATTTATTCACAATGATAAACATGTCAATACATATATGCAGCAAATAGAAAACGCGGTTGACGTCAAATGTCAAAGGGAAAATATCAACGATCAATATGTAAATAACTTTAATATAAATGGGGTAACAAATAGAAATCTATGGTCTTATCTTCCGTTAAGCATTTTTGTTAGTAAAGAGACAAGACAGCAAAGAAAACAGAAGAAAGCGAAGGCTGCGGTTTATCCAAAGTGCGATAATAACGACCTTCCTTTGAGTGTATATGTCGAGTCAAATGGACTGAACTACCAAGGTCTATTTAAAGATATCGTCCATATCAAAAATGACGTTTCAGTAACGTCATCAATGATGTACATTGCTATAAAGACACCCGATGTGAAACCATCTGAGGTACTACTTTCTGCATACGATTCTTGCGGGAGGATATGCAAAATGTTCTGTCAAAGTAGTTCTTCGGGCTCATATAGGCCATGCCAAGGTGCGCTGCGTGTGGACAACAGAGCACCACAGATACTTGGAAATAATGCTAAAGCTGTCTCAAAATCACACTGGATACAAAATGAATTTGGCGTTCCAGCACTAGACGAATCAAAAATATTTGTGAAAGTTGTCTGTGACAATGGTCTTGGATGGCCGTGGAAAGAGCATTCAAATTCAAGAACTATTTAAATTTTAGCTGATGCGAAGTAAAAAATCAAAATTATTAACAAAGATATAATCGCACAGACGTAAATTTTAAAACTTCCGGTCCATTCAACACGTATTCCACATCTCCAATATTTCTGACTGACTGCTCTGTTTCTGTACTGCCATGTTTTTATGTGATATATAATTTTCAAATCTATTTTCGTTCGTGTTCAATATGTGTCCAGAACGTGTTCGAGTTTCTGTAACTGTCTATTGTTCTTGTATGAACTATTTATTTTAAACCTGAAAAATAAAAAAAAAATTCAATATGATTCGAAATCACAAATTGTTTTAAAATTGGACATTGGTATAATTAACTTCTAATCGCACTACGTGTATATCATAAAATATTTTAAGAAGATAAAGCAAACTATTTGATTACAAGTACATGTCTAACTGCAGACGACACTTGCTATTGGAAGACTGCATTTAAAAAAAGCGATTAAATCGCTGAATCAAAGCGTAAATGTGAAAATAATCGTCATACTGATTTGGGTTAATTATATACTACAAAATCTAATACTCTATTTGTTTAACTATTTAAAATGGTTGAAGAAGAAGCGTTTTGTATTCATAATTATTAATTATATCGGTAGAATGAGATTCATTTTTTACCACTGCGGATGGTTTTGTTAACAATTTTGTTAGGTTTGGAGAAAAGATCGTTCAAAATAACCAAAAACATATGATAAATATTTTTTTACTGGAATTAATTAACTCCTCACCATTTTCTACATAATTCTTTTATTTCCGTTTTTGGATGTATTTTACCCTGCACTGTCAGTCCTTCCAAAAGATCTTTGAAAAAATCAACAGAATCACTATACCGCCTTTGTGCAAGAAGTAGACACTGAAAAAAAAACATTAATAGAAGTGTTGAAAAACAATTAGTCACGACACACTTCTTTTATTAAAGGTGACACCCAACATAAGAATGTTAGCATTGTTTATTGTTTTTAGATATTACTTCTAGAACAGTTCTTAAATTTAAGTAAGATACTTCAAGGCTTTTACAAATATAATATTTCGTGAAAATCTTTTGACATAAACGTCCATCAACAATAATTAGTTATTAAACTTAGTGATGTGAACGTACTGATAGCACCAGAAAATACCTTAAACATTGCAGATACTGGTTCACGTATAGTGTGCCTAATCTCATCCGTGACCGATTGAGGAAGCCCAAGTTGTAAGATCAGTTGTGAGTCTGAACCCACAACAGAAGCTATATGAACCAAGAATAGCTCTGATAAAGGAGATGCTGAAAACCAAAACAAAATTTGATCTTATAAGAAAAGATAATTCTTACAGTTTTACAAGCTACTTATAAAAAACTTTTGGGTTATCTCCCTTGAACTAATTTGGTGTCTTTGGTACTCTGCACTATTATCGGATCAGTTATTACGCTGTAATATATGTAACATATTTCTTGTCATTTGTGACCTTGTTTAGCATCATTTTGTAGATCATATCCCACTTAATGAAAAACATTTATAGATAGGTAGATCTAACAGACATTTAGATCTATCAAAAAAAAGTAAAAAAAAGTAAAAAAAATAAAACAAACCAAAAAAACATCTATATAATTTTTAAAGAGATGAAACTTGAGTGGGACTGACGATTACATGTATTTCATTTAATTTCATATGCTACTTTTTGCTGTATACGAAGCCAAAAAACTTCGTTCTGTTGTACTAGAATGATGTCCAGCGTTCCCTTATGTTCCGATTACGTTTAATTATAGTCATTATTTAGAGTACATTAGGTTTTGTGGGCAATCAGAGTCCGAATAAGTTAGATGTTAAAGACATAAAGTTGTCTAATAAATTATAGGAATACAAAACCTTGTTCCGGTTCAGTAAGGCAACTGATACACAAACGATCACTATGAGAGTCCTTGCAGACAGACGCCGTATCAGTTATAGGAGTAACGCCATCTACGTCATCTAATTCTTCATCTGCATCTGCTGACGTCACATCCGCTGCTTCTGCTTTCATCACATCTGCTGGAGTCGACAGCTTTCTAACCCATCTACATACCCGTTCATTGGGTTTTCTGGTCAACCTACACGTGCACATAAAAATGATAGTACCTTCCTTCGCAGTCATAACATAAAAGTTAAAACCTATTTTATGTTAAGATCTGGTTTTAAAGTCTTCCAGTAATTATAAAGAACTCTAAAATAAATCAGCTATTTATCAGTTAAAACTGCAGTGTTATAGAAACCTAAACATTTTATCTTAAAAGAAATTTCAAAAATGACTTGTGAAATTTATACTTCCAGTATAATAATATTTTGTTTTCTTTGTCCCGCTTTAAAAGAACGAGAAAAAAGATCAACAAGGCAAGGCGACGTTCACAGAACGCAACCCTAGCCACAACATCAGAGCACCCAGAAGGCACCGAACCAAAAACGGGAGAGGGCACAAGAGTAGTGAACGAAGGGGAGGGACATGTAAGAAGTGAAATGATAAGAACTAAAAGGGCCGGTAAGGGAATTAAATACTAGTTACTATACATTGCGTTTTATACATAAGACACAAACAGCCTTCTGCTATTTCAATCATTGGTTATATCTTGAATTGTGTTTTGAATATAAAATAAATGTAAGTAATTATTTACAAATCTTGGACATCTGAGTTGATCTTCGCCACCAGATCTTTTCTTTGTACGAGTGTTAAACTTTGTAACAAAACTGTCAACCCAATATCATCTTTCTCATTCTGATCTATTCGCCATGTGTAAAGCATCTGTAAATTTCAAACAAAAATGCAGGTGAATTATTCATTTGAATTATAATAATGATGTAATAATATAAAGTCGCGATAGAAGTATAAAGAAATTACTGTTTCATAATTGAATAATTAATAAATAATTGAGATAAAATAGAACACATTACGATTGACACATAGTTTAAAATGCAAAAGTGACAGTTAATATATGCTAAATGTTATTTACCAATTAAAACATCATTAGAGACATTATGTCTTATTGTTTGGTTTATTAATATTTACCATTTCATTAACGTTTTTGGGCAATAAAATGTATCCTGTAAAAATAAATCAAGTAAAGGGTAATATAAGTTTACAGGAAAACTATTTAATTTTTCACTATAATTTTGCAAATTTTCTAAAATGTGTCACCTGCGACATTCCGAAATATTAAAGACGCTAATCAATTTCCGTGTATTATTTTTGATGTGGCATGCAAATATTCTGTACTTTTAAAGGATCTGTTTGTTATGACGATACTCACTGCTTAAGTTTAAGGTTTTCATTTAGTATCAGCTATAAACAATGCACAGGGGCATCATAAAGTGTAATATCAATTGTTTTATAAAGCTTATTTATGAGTGGACTAAATAATATATATTTGTAAAAGAAACAATAAATGTAGAAACTGATAATGAACAACAGATATAACGCTTAAGTTGTTTCAAATTAAACAAAATTAATTATACATGTTTTTTTTGTATGGTTCAACATTCGTTTAAAAATAGTGGGTTCAAAATTTGTCATGATAAAGTATTTTAAGACTTTCCACATGTTAAATTGTTGAATATACAAAAATATGATTTTCAAAATATGTTCTAAATAAAGATGTTCATTTGTCCATTGTTTTCAAAGCAGATATTAAAATAAAAGAGCACTATCTATTGCTAAATACAATGCTATATACCATGTAAGCTACCGTCTACCCCACCTTGTAGCACCGGCTGAAGTACACTTCAATAATTTTGAATAGAATATATTACGGATTAATAAGCAGGTGTATGTGCTTTTCTATTTGTGCTGTATTTTTTTACCGTGAGATTTGCTCTTGTCGGAGAATTGTCTCGTTCAATGCTCTCTAGATAGCTGGACTTCAGACCGAGACCAATCCCTATCATCATCCACTCGTGTCCTATTTCTTGTGCCAGCCAAGATAAAAACCTATTATCTGGATATTCTGTAAAATAAATGCTTACTCATTACCTAACTTTACTGTCTCGTTTAAAAACGAATTGTTTTCATTTTCGAAAGGTATCAATACATATTTCATTAATGTGATTGTCTGTCTAGAAATCATGATTGCTACAAAACAACTATTAACCTTGTAATTTAGTTTCCTTTGCTTGTCAAGATGATTTTATGTTACGCGTTCATATGAAGTAGGGAAAATGATAGATAACCCTTTTCCTTTAAATAATAAACATTATGATAGTCTAAACGAAATGATTATGACGACAACAAAAACGATCAACAATACTTATCAAAATTAACTTATCTAAATGATCTACGATGCTGGGTTTCATATAGGCTTTACCTGTAAATTCAAGACTTGAACCGTGCTTTTTATTATCATTCCGTTGCAGAAGAAGCTCTACGTTTATTTTGGTAAGAATGCGAGTCTCTATGTCGTTTCCTACACTTATTTTGTTATTGCACACACTAATCGTCACTTGCAGAAAATCATGTTCCTTTCCGGATATAATGAAATCTTGATAAGAAGGCGTGTCTCTATGATAAGTTAGAGATAGTTCTTCAGAAGATACGGCACTTTCAGAGTTGAATTTCCAACATGCACAGAATCTCGTTCCAGGTTTAACCAAATAATTTGAAGTTTTCTGCGAAAATTCGGTAACATATTTCTCTTTCTCCAGTGTTTTCATATGGTCATTAGCAATTTTTGTATCGCTGAGTCCAACTAAAAGTCTAAACGTTTCTCCTGAACAGTGTTTTGTCATTGCAAAAAAGCACACATAGGCTTTTCTCTTAAGAGCGGTGTTATATAGCCACATAACGAATTCTTTGATTCTAGACAGAACATTAATCTCCCTATTCTTCCGAACTTCAGTGACAATACACCTGTAACGAAACAAAATCCATGAATTTTGAGAAACATAAATGATAAAAATGCAAACCCGGAAGGTCTACCAAAATCTAAAATATTACATGTACGGTTTGAGAACAACAGCGGATAAAGCAAGCTTAAGCAAAATTGAACATTAAAACATAAAAATGGTTTAAAAAGCTTGTAGATACGATGGTTTTATCAGTATAATATAAGTTAATGAGTTTCTTTACGTGTGATAATTGCTATATTGATGATTTGTATCAATGAATAAACATACGTTCCGGAGCTAATGGACGTATCTGTAACTGTAACATGACTAGACCCTGGTCTCCACACAGACTCTACTTCTCTCCACTCAGATGGCGTCTGCGTCTCTTCATCATAATGAAAAACTGTAACATCTGTATCTTCTGCCGTGCTTTCCTCAACACCACGTGGTACAGGTAATGAAATAGCAAGTGCCCTTCTATTCTTCTGATTTATTTTTACCTCACAGAAGTTTGATGTAGATTTGATAAGCTCTGAATTCAATGTCGATTGGTATTCTTCTGTTGGAATAACCTTTAAACAGATTCTGGTAATTTAATTTGTATCATTTATTTGGTACATTTTTTACCATGGCAATACGTCGTACTACTTAAACTAAATATTATTTAACAGGAAAGAAAAAAAATAAGAAATATATGGTTCACTTTCATTTACATTTAAGTACATGTATGTACATTATATTATCTCTGTAGATTGTCTTTCTGCCTCCTTTGGGTTCTTAAATATCAGAGGAATAAAGCCGGATAAATTACATTATTATATTAAATCTAAATAAAGATGCAATCCCATTGGTCAAAATCATAATCACCGGGTATCGACTTGGTTAATATGTCATCTGTCATATCACATCATATTCAATGGCTCGCTAGTCAGTAATTGCATAATAATAATGTTATATCGTTTAAAATTTAATATATGTTGATTATAAACTCACTTTCAAAGACAACCGAGTATTTTTCGGTAAACATGTGTTCGGCAATTGTACTTTGAATTCGTTTTCTACTGATGACGTCAATGTTTCAGCCATTCCAGTTACCGTAAATGTGTCATATTTTGTTTCCATGACCACCGCAAATGAGTAGATATTATTTTCATATGCCCTCAAGTTCATGCATGAAGAATAGTAAATAACCTGTAAAAATAAGAATTCATTATCATCAAATCATTCGGAGAAAGTGTGAGTAAAACCAATCTAAAAAGGGGAGACCACTCGAGAAGAATGAAGACAAAATAAAAAAATTGAAAATCGTAGAATTGTTTTGTTTAAGTAATGTTTGTTTGTTTGGGTTTAACGGCATATTGACACATTACTGGGCATAAGACTATAATTGTTAACATAAGAAATTGGTATTAAGAGATAATGTAAAATCTAACACAGAATATATCAGTTATCTTCTGTTCCAGGTAAAATGCAACATCTCTCATTTGACTCAATTATCCCGAGGGACCAGAAAATATAACTACTTTGAAATGAGGTTAAAACCAGCACACGACTTTGCGCGTACTTTTGGGAGCATAACAATTTTAAATTCTAAACTGAATTTCCTAAAAGGCTTTCTGAATTTTGTATATGCATTGTTTTTATTTTAATATAAATTTAACTTTCATTGTGAGATAAATTTATTTAATTTATTAATCTCACCTTATCAACCTCTGAAATATCCGAACATTTGAACATTGACCCTGTGCTATCAATTATATAAACAGTATCAAATCGAGAGCATGTTGTATACACTGGCACTGTAATCCCAACTTCTTCAACATTTTGATTTACAAGGTACTCATATATATCACTGATCAATTCCATGTCTTCTTTAAGGTAAGTCATAACCCCACATTTCGCAACAATAGCCTGGGTACTTTTGTTGACAATTATTTTCCGACAGAACAGAGAGAACTGCTTAGACTTGGTGCTTGTGTTTGCTATCGTTACACATACAGATTTGAAACTTTGTCTTTGATAGCTGTTGATCATTTTCCCGAATATCTTTATATTTCTGAAATAATTAAATATATAAGGGAAAACGAAAATATACAAATGCTATAACAAAGTGGTTTTCTTAATGGCATCAATGATCATACAATATCTTAATATATTTGTATTTAAGAAATTAATGCAAATGTTATATAAGCGATATTGCAAGTAATATAATACATTTGTATCTACAAAAGTTTTTGGCCACGAGTGTGGTTTAGTGGCTATGAAGGTTCTTTAAATGAAATAGAGACGGCTGAATCTCAGACCTACCTCAAACAGTGTGACACAAATTATATTGCTGTAGATACTTTAAATACATTTAACTTACATTACAATACATGTATATGATTTGTTGGCAAATGCTGAAAAAAATTCTTTGATTATATTTTAATCTATATTGATTCGTTTACTTTATTATGCTATTATTTTTTATATTTGAAACAATCTTGCCCTTCTTTCAAGGCAGCCCTCACAACGTCACAGAGCTGGCTTTCTTCTTTTGTTAGAACCGTTTCTGCTACATTATCAGACTTCTGTATAAAAATATAAAAGAGGTCATTTTACAATTCAAGTAACGTTTGATTCCAATTATATATGCTGTAAAAGCTGTTACTGACACCATTTAAGTTATAACATGACGATTTTACTCTCTAATGATTAAATTATCATTTTGCTTCCTCTGGTATTATTTCACCAAAGACATAAACATAAGGTCTACGGTCAGTACAATGTCAGTGTTGTTTACTTTTTATAAATAAAAACAAAATATGCGCAAGAATGATATAGAAAACATTCAGTAATAATTTGGTGAGCTTTATTTTAAAACTGGAGTCTTTGTGACAAAGGATTTATGTTTTCACAGAGAAATCATGTCAGTCTACATTGACTCATTTCTTTGCAACAGAAGGTGAATACAATGAGCACATCAAAGCATTGACTATCAACAAGATTTTAATTTTTAGAAACACCTTATGCTTTATTTAAAATCGACATCTTTTTCAAGTGCCTGTACGATAAAGAAATATTCCTCATCGCGGGAAACATAATGAGATTGTACTTGAAGAATATAGAGCATATTATAAATCAATTTAAGTGCATTAACGTTTAAAGTCGTTATCGAATACCATCCTAGCTACATTAAATGATTGTATTTTATTGTTACCTGGTCGTTTTTGGTTGTGTCAACGCCACAGTACAATAGGAATTTGATCGATCTCTTATTTTTACTCCGAGATGCAATTTGCAGTGGCGTTAGCCTCGTATCCTGCACAAAATTATATATAAATGTATGCTAATGCAAGCTTTATAATTTACAAGGGAAACATGCATTCTAACTTATTTTATCAAATATATTAAAAAGAATTTGGAAACGAAAGAATAAAGAAAAGTTTGTCAACATCGAAAATGAATTTTCAATATAGAAATAGAGAAAAAAAAAAGAATCCCTAAAAATGCCTAAAACGGCAAAATTGAAAATTTGATTGAGTCTGTTCATGGACGGTACATAAAAATACTTAAAGAATGGTTTGAACATGGGTGTTTTGAAAGTTGAAAATAAAACATAAAAATTATTTTCCTAATTACATGAGATTTGTGTATTTGAGATTTTTTATTATTTTAATGTTTAATTCTTTAAACGACAAAATATTACTTCTGTCATGTATAAATTGGAATAAAAAAAATCAACTTTTTTCTTCAAACATTGCCTTAACGTAGATAGCGTCATTCCTACATGCATCTCATTTATAACATTTACATTTTAATTATGCATATTTCTATATAAAAAATAAACTTACTGCATTTTGTATATTTACATCAGCACCATATGCGACAAGCACAGCCATTGTTTCTATATAGTCCTTAACGGCAGCATAGTGGATAGGGGCCATTCCAAACTGAAATTATTGTAGTATATATTATATTGCAATATGGTATGCCAATTTGTTCAAAGTTTAATATCTTATTATATATGTTATAAGTTTTATATATTAACATTTTACGTTTTATTTCGGATTTACAGCATTCATTGACCCTTACCCTGCTGAATTCGTGAAATGGATTTGTCTTGGTTTGATATTGTAACAGTCCATTTGAATTTTAAAGAGATTCATCAATAAAATACAAAAATTGAGCCACCGACAGTAGCCTAAAGAACCTTGTCAACTTTTCATCCTGCACGCATGTGCTGGTTAGCCTGGCTCTATAAAGGCGACGAGGTCTAATCGCTTCCGGGCCAAAAGGGTTAGGGTTAAAAATTGGAAAAATATCACGAGTATACCAAACGATAAGGTAAAACAAATGACAATTTCATGGATACATTAAATATTTTGCAGTGTTGTTTTCTATTTACATCCATTTGGCATCTTATCAATAGTACAGGGTATGTTAACTTAAATCTTACGCCTGTCAGTTAAAGATATATAACATGATAAAATTGAATTGTGTTTTAAGATAAGAAAAAGATACATGTCTATGATTTAAATCTACTTAAACTATACTTAATGAAAATCAGATCAATAAAAAACGACATATCTCTGAATGCATATCTATTTTTCAACGAATATAAGAAATGCTAAGCGGTGCGGTGACATAGTGGTAGCGGTGTCTGCCTCTCATTCTTGTTATTGTGGAGATGATGAAAATGCTTCCATAAATGACACTCACATATGACATCCTTATATGTCATCCATATATGAAAACCTTATATGTCACCCATATATGAAAACCTAATATGACACCCATATATGACACCTTTTTATTACACCCACATATTACACCCGCATATGACAAACTTATATGACACCCACATATGACACCAGTAATGTCATTTCCAGGAAAATAAACATGATAGTTGTTCAAATAAACTACAAGCTAACATGAATACTAGTAATTATTAAACTAATATAAATATAACAAATTGTATTGCAATATTTTATTTTGATGATTGTTATTAGTTTATTTGAGTTTCACCATTTACATGTACATGAAAAACACTTAAACTATATATAATATATATTCTAGTCACTCACGTTATCAAAGATATTCGTCCGGGCCCCGTGTTCTAGAAGGAGTGCAAGCGAAGCTAGATCGGCGGATTTACAGCAAAGGTGTAACGCCGTGCAACCTGTCTAAAATACAAATTTATCTTGCTTGTTTCAAACTCACAGCAAATACTTCCATACATTTTCGTTAACTTTTTAACGTATGAAACACTCAGTGCAATTTTTCAATATGGAATGCAATCTTTAAAAAAAAAGCCAATTATCTAAAATAAAATATAAAAAATATGAAAATAATGAATTATGAAATAAGCAAATTTATCATATTTTTAAAATACAAATTTACCTTACTTGTGGAGCGAATTACAATAAGCTTTGAGCTTCCAGTTCAATCCACTTTTCATGATTTTGTCTAAATTTTGTGTTTGATGTGTAGTATTGTAACTTGATAAAAATAAATATGTTTAAACCAAAATGAATATACAGTGTCATTAAAAAAACTGGCAGTCTTTTTAAAGAAACGACTAACTTTACTTGACCTGTATTAAGGAAAACAGCTTCCCATACCTAGTTTATTCAAGACATTCTTTTATTCAAACTAGACATATTCAATACGAATTTCATAGATTCCAATAAATTTCTGTGATAAAATTTTTTTACTCAAGGTTGAGCATAGTATATCTTAAAAAAAGACAATTATCTAAAATAAATATTCAAAAAATATATGAATGAATTACAAATCTTTTACTACCTTGTCCACAGCATTTAGATTCGCTTTTCCTTCTCTAATGATAGACTCCAGCATCCTGCCATCACACCTTCTTGCCGCCTCTAAAAGTTTTCCATCATTTCCTGTCACACCTGACGCCATTTTAAAAACTAATCTCAGACGCCATTTTAAATAATAATCTCAGACGCCATTTAAAATAATTATCTCAGACGCCATTTTGAATAATTATCTCAGACGCCATTTTGAATAAATATCTCAGTCGCCATTTTAAATAATTATCTCAAACATGATCCTGTAGTTACAGAACTCGTCTTTCGATCATATTTCTAACACTTTATTTCCATTTTCCTTTTTTTTCAATTCACACCATTGATTTCAGTGCCTACTGTATGTTGTATAAAATGTTTAAATTAGATTTCTTAGCTACCGTTCATCGCGATTTCAATCAATTGCCAACACTTATATCGGTGGATATTGTAACAAAATCAAATCTTTGTGTACATATTTATTTCAAATTTACGAGATACCACTTATCTGTCCTGAACTGCTGAGCTATATCTTTGTCTTATTTAAGTAAAACGATATAAAAACGTAAGTAAACGATACTTCACCAACTTTTATTCGCCATCGCACAGTGTCGAAATTTCATAACAATTAACAATAGGTGATTTCTCGGGTAAACATCAAGCGGTCATTAATACGTTTAAGAGATTTAAATGACCTAAATTATTTACAACTATTTAATGGGTAGAAATGTGCAATTTAAACATCGCGATAAAATGTTGAAATGAATGGAAAGTTTGTTTTCAACCAGAGGACCATGACAATCTTTACACTCTATGATTACAAGCTAATGAAGTGAAAATGTAATAAATTTGACTGGACCGTTTTTAAAGTATATCATTCTCGTTTTAATTCATACCCTATTGCGTTTGAGTTTCAAGTCAGTATTTAAGTTTATATAAAATGGGTTGCCGATCTGCTTCTTGTCACGTAATATTACTTATTTATTGCCTATAACTTGATAAAGTAAACGACATTAATGGTTTGTTACAGTATAAGGAAAACATTAATGATTATCTACAGTAACTGAAATTTTAGATGAGGAAAAATGTTTTCTTATTGTTGTATGTAAATTTGTTTGTGTTTGAATTTTTGGTAATTTTGTCATGTTTTGATTAATATAATGGAAAAGTTTTCGATGATGATATAATAGATATACCAAATCAAATTATTAGAGATAGTGACAGAGCAGCAAAGTCGATTGCAAGAATTTAAGGTTTTATTAAGTGGGCATCACAATGTCCTAAGGCTGATGTGCTCTTGTCTTTTGATAGCCTGTTTGTTCTTTACTATATACCCTATGTTATCTGCTTTCTTGTCAACAACGTACAGAATGTCATATCGTTTTCTAAAACATTGTTGTTTTCCATACCTTACATAAACTAGAAATTGTTATACTATAGGCAATGTCATTCTTTGGCAAAGTCGTTCTGACCTGGACATACTCTCGGGAATGTCGTAATCTAGACAATGTCGCACTCTAGAAAAAAATGTCATACTCTAAGAAATTTCAAACCCTACAAGATGCCATATGCTAGCTATATATGCTTTAAAGGAAGCTGCGCATCGTTGTGGGTCCCCTTTTTACCGACTTTTATATATTGACTTATTTCAGCAGTTTAATTATTTATTGTAGTGACAAAAAAGATATACCTCAGTCTGAAAAGGAAATGCATTTTTATCTTCGATTTTTTTTTCAAACTAGAAAAAAAATCAAATAAAAGTGATTTAAACTGCACGTTGCATAATCGTCTGTGTCATTGAGTAAGTAAATACTGATAAAGTTCGTATAAACATTGCATATAATGAAGATTTGTTGCTTTTCTTTGTAAAAATCGATACGATAAAAATGGAGTGTTATTCTTTAAATGGATCCTTTTATAATTCAAACAAATGATTGGATAATTCTTAGGGGCCTCCGTGGCCGAGTGGTTAAAGTCGCTGACTTGAGATCACAGGTCCCTCACCACTGTGGGTTCGATCCTCACTCGGGTCGAAATCTTTCATGTGAGGAAGCCATCCAGCTGGCTTACGGAAGGTCGGTGGTTCTACCCAGGTGCCCGCTCGTGCCTGAAATAATGCCCGGAGGGGCACCTGGGGTCTTCCTCCACCAATAAAGCTGGGGAAAAAAAATCGACGAAAAATCTCGGCGGGACGCTCTAGGATGACCCGACTTGAGTGAACGGTCGCCCATATGGGCTTTCCGGCGGCGACCTTAAATAAACGCATTAAAAAAAAAAAAAAAAAAAAAAAGAATAATTCTTATCATCACTTAAGCAGAAAGATAACATCAAGTGACTGGCATTAAATTTAAATAAATATCCGTTTAAACTGTGGTATGTAATGTTTTTTTTTACAATGTCGTAGTCTGTTGGAATATTATACCGCTATAGTGGTTTCATTGTTTTGTGGTTGCTTGTTATGGAAAATATGATCCTCTGACAGAGACTGTCTAGTTTCCTAGAGCTCTCGACTAACCTTTTTTCTGAATATAAGTTAATTCATTCCAACTAACACAGTTGAATGAAATGACGTGCTTCGATACCCAGCTTAATAGTAAATGAGTTTTTGAAGATCGTTCAGCACGACATTATTGTTGCGTTTTTACATGTTATGTGGTATTTTTAGTTTCTTCTATTTGGCCTTTTTTCAACTTGGGTGGTTCCTGTATTCCTACTTGAATTCTGTATAATCACTCTTAGGATATGTTGCCTGCTTTTAAAATTTGTCTCTGTGATATGCAGGCTTCATAACCCAGATCCCCTTTCAAAATTCAATTTTATTTAGTTCCGCCTATTGTTTTCCCGTTTAGGGCATGCACTCGCATTCTTTTACTATGGGACCATACGCCGCTTTTCATGGAATGGCACTTTTGTGTCACATTGAAGGTTCCATGGTAACCACTTCCGTATGAACACATTTGTTTCCAAATTCAAAATTTCACCATTTTGTGTTCAAATTATGAATTCTGCTTAAGCCGGTGCTAGGGGGCGTGGATGGAAACTTGCACCTGCAACATTTTCAATTTTTCAGTGTCGGGCTTTCTTTACGGATTCTGTTTTTCTCTATTTATATGTGCATCAAAATTTAATGTTATTTGTTTTTGGGTGAAATGTTTCTGGAAAGTATCTTTGTGCATTTTTTAAGTAATTGATATTGTTTTGCACAATTGTTTATGGTATATATTGTTATACTATTAATTACATGTAATAGTACTTTTTTTTAAATCTCATTAACATTATTCTCTATCAGCTACGTAAGTTAAGTTATACTTTTTATGAGATATGATTTTAATGATACTATTAAAGGTATGATTTCTATGATCCCTTTTCAAATTTCCATTTTATTTAGTTACGTCCATTGTTTTCCCGTTTAGGGCACATGCATTGTTTCACTTGGGGACCATATGCCGCTTTTCATGGAATGGCCAGGACGTGTATCATTGAAGGTTCCAATATGACCGCCACATGAACGCATCTGCGGATGTTTCAAAATTCAAATTGTTTCCGATTCGTGTAAAATGTTGAATTCTTCTTAAACTGGTACTATGGGGGCGTTGACGGTAGCTTGCATTTTCCACTACCGTCCATGAACAGTCTTTATCAAACAGAGCCTTGCAACATTTCAATTTTGCCATGTCGGGCTTTCTTTAGAGTTTTTGCTTTTCTCTATTTTAATGAGATTGTATTCTTGTAGTTAGTAAGGATATGATTTGAACGGGATTAGTCAATTATGATATGAATTCAATCAGATAGTCTTCTTGCAGTCAAATAAGATTTCAAAGATAAAGTATTTTTGCCGTTAGTTATGATACTAGTATGAATACAATAACATATGATTTCAATGGGTTAGTGTTCTTGCAGTCAACAAATTATTTCAATGATTTTCTTTTAGTATAACTGCAGTCAAAAAGGAAATGGTTTTAATGATATTGTATTCTTGCAGACAGTTAGTACATGATCGTAATAAAATTGTATTATTGTAGTCTGTAAGTTTATGGTTTTTAGTTAGAAAATGGTTTTAGCAAGATTGTACTTTTGCAGTTACTGAGGAAATGGTTTTAATGATTTTGTGTTCTTGCAAACAGTTAGGACATAATTTAAATGCTTCTGTTTTAATGAGATCGTATTATTGCTTTCAGAGGGGATAAAATTTTAATAACATTAAGTGCTTGCAGTTGCTTACGAAATTGATTTTAATGAGATATTTTCATTTGCAATGTGTTAGGATATGATTTGAATGTACGTAATAGAAACTTAATAACATGTATATGCAAATATTCATTGGCATTAGGACTTTATATCATTTGAGTCATGGTGTTGAAGATATATTCAATGGAAGGAATGAAAACATTTATTAGAAGTATATCAACATATTGGTTTTAGAGGTCGGAAAAAATTTATGATATAAAAAACAAAAACAACATTGGCAACAAAACAGTTTTATTTTATCGAATTATTGTTCGAGAAAATGAGTGGCTTTAGACACTTTAAATACCACATGAATCATCACAATCATAAAATGATATAACGAGAGACAACCAAGCAGACGACAATGTTACGTTAAATAAAGCACTACTTTAGTATAGAATATAAGCCTGAAATTGAGTCAAAGCTTACCTTCCTACAAAACCCTTCTTCAGTTTTGAATTGTAAGCCAGTAGTCATTACAGAAAACGATTTGTTTAAACTATAAAAATGTGCAAAAAATGTAAAACATCAAGTTCATATGTTTAGAAATAAACTCCATTTTTTTGCTTTATTGTTATATCATATGTATTTCATCTTAAGCGGAATATTGCAATGTTTAACATTATTACATAATGGAATCTAGGTATTATAATTGTAACAATTCTTTCTTATTTAAGACTTAGGAGTGGGTTATGCGATGGGTAAACACTATATACCTTTTACAGGTGAAAGACAATTGGTACAGATTTAACAAGTATAAGATCTGCAAATAATGATGATTTTGAGACACTTAAATGCATAGCATTTTATTTACAAGGGTATGTTCACAAGAACATGTTCGTACTATTTTGACCATCTAAGCTTATCTTAGACAGTTATAAAGGTAAATTGTTCTATGGTATTGTACCTGAATTACTTCATTGAAGTCCAAAAATTATTCTTAAAATATATGTGTAAATGTATCATTGTAGTCTTGAAATTTAACAAAAATGGAAAAAATCGCTTTGCTCGATAAATGGTTAATTTCTCGATTACGTAACTTTTAACTTTTCGGTTCGATTATAAAATTATGAAATTGGAAAACAAATCCCCTAAACAAAAATACCCTTATGTCAGTGATGAAGAAATATATACAGGTAACTGTCGGCAAACTTCATAAGTTAAATAAATAATATAGAGCATATTTCTGACGACCGAAATTCAGAATTAGACAAACCTAACCTGAATGCCAACCTATCAGCGGTGTTGTTTATCAACATTTATATCTCATTAACAATGTGTTACTAAGAGGAATCAAGACAAGATTCAGATTTTGATGTCGATACCTTCATTTCATCACATCTATTTTCAAACACCCTTTGCTTTAAGCCGTTTGATGGCGCTATCACAACATGTTCATCTTTTTTCATCTTCTGGAATGTTTCATAAATTTAACCGAAGACGAATTGACCGTTTCCAAAAGTTGTAGCACCACCCTGTCTTGACCACCAGGGTAGCCTCTGTACAACAGGTCCTGTTTGGGCCATTGCGGTTGGTGAATTTTGATTCATTATTAATGGAACACAGCGTTGTCTACTCCAGTCGCATCTTAAATATTGCGACCCACAATTATTTGAGTTTGGAATACAAGTGGGCCGTCTCTCGTATCTGTAAATTCGACGGGTAAATATATCATTTATTCCATCAATTACTAAAAGTCTCCCTAAGCCCATCGAAGCTAATGGTTGGTGCGTCTGTTCACCAACAATGCGCGGGTAATCTCGCGCGGGATCAAGACCGCGCATGCGCTGATTTGTTCTAAAGTCTTCCCAAAGATAATCTATAAAAGCATGGTGAATATAGAAAAGTGGATCGTAAGAAGCAGACTCTATTCTACTCATTTGTTGCCCAAGATAAACGTGTACATCATTATGAAGTTCTTCAATATTGGTGGCATCAGGTGCGTTAGGATTTGTTATGTCAGCTATTATAGTCTGTGACATGATAGCTGAGATGTCATTTGGATTCATGAGCCTCCTGTCATTGCCTACGTCACGTCCTAGAGGACCAAACGGTGTTGACCAGAAGGAGAAAGGACCTGCAAAGGAAACGTGAATTTGTTGTCATAAGCATTCATAATACACATATTTGCTTTGTAAAGTACCTGATTGAAAATCCGGACCTGATTGAAAATCCGGACCTGATTGAAAATCCGGTAGCGTAAATTATAGTTAATATAAGACAATACATGCATAGAATATTATAAGCAAGATGTTTTATAATTATATGTATGACACAAAACTTTATATGCACTAGTTCTGGCATGAAACAAAGAAAAGAAATGCACCCAACGCATTATGCTACTTAAAAAAAACAGCTATTTTTATGGCGAAAAAATTATGTATCAATATTTATAGTATCAAGAGATAATGTCTAAATAGTCATAGGTTGATTGGGCTTGATATTTATCTCCTCCTCTATACTTATTGTTACCATACCTTGGGTAACTTGTCCATTTGCAGTTCCCATGAAGAGGGGTGAGAAGAGTATGGACTGTCTAGGACTCTGTAAACCTTCTTCTATCGTATTATCCCAGTAAGGAATTGTCACATTTGCTACTTTCTCACGCATTGCATTTTCAAACCTAAAATACATTCACAATATCTTCTATATAATAAGCATTTGCATAATTATGCAATCAATTCGTAATGCTTAAATCATTAAATGAAACTAAATTTAAAGGGCAACTAAAGGCCAAAGTGTGAAATGCATTTCAGAACAATTATCTTTTAAAGTAAAATGTGTTTTATCAAATGCAGCATAAATGACACATATGACTGTAAAATTTTCTTCAGTGTTAAAAGAAAAGTTCATTTTCTACTTATTAAATTTGATCAAATCAGTTGAGAATTTCATTTGTACAAAATATTTATTCTTCATCTTATGAAATTTCTTCAAATCAGTTGACAATTTCATTAGTAAAAAGGATTCATTCTTTATCATTTAAGTTGTATGTGTAATTGTTTATTATATCAACTTTCATAATTTTGCAAACTTTTTTTTTAAATTTTAATTCTTTGCCACGCTTTGAATATTAAGGTTACATTATGCTCATTTTTTCCCGAGGTCAAGTTGAGTTGATAGTAATATATTTTTCGAAAAATGACTATTATAGCGGGGATTGACTAGTAAATAATTATTTTTTCATTGTAAAATACAAATTGAATCAAAAAGTTATTTTGATTTTTACCTGTTCACTGACTATTTTCACTTGGATGGGAATAATGTCACTTTAATTAACAACTTATATACTTACAAGACAAGGTAAACCCTGTGCCAGCCGAGAAAGTTTGGTCCACCATGAGCCGACAGTGCGGTGTTCAGGTGATGTAAAGAAGCTAATGCATCGAATTTGTTTGGAGGAACGCTCTGTACAAAAATAATATATGTCTTAATTAAATGCTAGAAATAATGCACATGTTTGTATAATAATTGTATAATACTTATTGTCTCAATAAAATGTACGTGTATATGAAATGAAAAATAAATAAATGATTTTTTACCAGTATTTTTGAATATATTCAGGATAGTAGAAGTGTTAATGGTGAGGGCATTGTTTACTTACAAACTAAACTGAGCAATTACTGGTATTTAATAAGACGATGATTTTGTAAGTTTTTTTTCATTGATTTCTACTCGCCTCTTCACGATTTTTTTTTCCAGAAAAATCAGTTTTGATATTGATATTTGTAACTTTTGTCTTCGTAGCGAGATATGCTACATAAATTTTAGAATATTTACTTCACACCCGTAAAATGTAAGACAAAAAGAAAAAGTGGGGTCTCTGTTATCTAATACATTCAACTATTTGATTTAAAAGAGTTAGACATTTTGCAACATAATATGCCATTGTCGTAACTTTAATGAAGTTACTAAAAAGAACAAACGGATTTATTCAGTGCGCATATGTTTTCCTAAAAAAGGCATGAATGGTATTTTCATTTTGCTTGCTTACCGTGTCTTGTTTTAAAAGTCGAATAGAATTATGAAAGTTGTTTCTTTCTGCGTCTGTGAGCATGCGGTATTCTTTGCGCACGCGCAGTTCCCCTTCTGGTGGTAGGAAAAATAATGAGTTGAGCCAATTTAAGAATCTAGGATCAAGGGATCTGAAATATAAGATAATATACATGTATATGTAACTGTACACATTCAACTGAATTTAAAATAATATGGTGTGAACAAAGGCGATGTAAAATTCCAAATAGAAATATATATTACATACACATAATGTTTATAATTATTAAAGTATTAATATATTATTTATCATTGTATTGATATATTTAGAGAATACGCAAATGTTAAAAACGCTTTTGGTGTTTTGACACTAGTTCAAATGTAGGCGATAGATTGACTTTTAAAGTTGCATGCCTCCAGATGAACCAAAATATTTTGAGAAAATCCAAGTTGAGAACAATGTACTAGGTTTTTAAGACAAGTAAACAGATTCAAGATTCAAGTTGTGTACTGATTTAGCAGTTCTTGTCATCATATTTCTACTGTGTGACTAACGCAGTAGGGGTTATTTCAGCATATTTAACCACCATTTGGTAGTTTACTAGGATTGTAAGTGCCGTTTGCGTTGTGTAAATTACTTTCTTTGCTCTCTTCGCAATATTTCACTTTTCATAATTTTCATGAAAATAAGCATGTATATGGAGGCATGCTGCTTAAAATAAAATAAATCAAAATTGTATTTAAAAAAGACAATTTACCTATTTGCCGACGTTAAAGATGTTTGTTGAGCATCAATATCGTAATTCGGAAACAGAACCAAAATAAATAAAACACATATAGCTAAGGACGGCATTTTCTGAAAAATAGAAATATTAAATACGTTTAGAATTCTGTAAAAAACATCTGAAAAGAACTGCACTTGAGAACGGATTTACTGGTGCTTACTTTATATAAGAAAATATAAATGTATAATGGCATCGGGCGTTCTTTTGGACACCGTGTACTGTAGCATTTATCTGACAGTTTAAATATAATATATAAAAGTAATTTTAATTTCCTTTTAATATAATTATATTTAAGGATTAGGCATGTAAATTACTCTATGACAAAACATAGACGGTCATTGTAATAGCATGTATGTCAAGGCCGTTTCTTAACAAAAATTTAATCGTATTTTTGTCCATAGCAGAACAAAACTGACATTTTATTAGGCTTAAACATCAGTATATTATCTTTATTAATAAACATCAATGATAAAAATGTCATTTATCCGGATCATATTACAAAAGTTTAATCATATGCAATTTAACATATATTTACATATAATGCATACATGTATAATAAAGGCAGTAAGGTAATAAGTACTACCGCATCAGGTCATATTATTTATAAATGAATTTGAATACCAAATGCCACAAATCATGACATTCAAACAAAGATGGGTGGACATAATAAAACCATTTGATATATTTATTTCCTGTTTGAGAATAACAATCACATATACAAAAAAGTAGAATTCATCTTCAATATATCTTATGTTACAACATAAACAATATCTTTCCTTTCTGGACTACATTCACCGTATTCCATATTTTAAGAATTTAAAGAAGATCCTCTATTTCATTTTCAGAGTCCAAAAAGTCTATATCAAATGCATATTACATTCTATCTGGCCTGTTGTTTTTTTTGTTGTTTTTTTTTTGTTTGTTGTTTTTTTTATCGTTTTTTTTTTATTTTCAAAGTCCAAAAACCCCACATCAATTCCTTAATGCACTATAAGTAACAAAGTTGTGTCAAAATGTGAAGATATGGAGGTGGGAAATAAGGAGATCAATAAACATTGTTGAGATAAATGCTGATTCTGTTAAACTCGTGCTCAGCTGCAAAACCTGTATCAGTCTCGGTTAGCAGCTTGTCCAATATAGGTTTTACAGCTGTGTACTCGTCCAATAAAAGAATTCAGTATTGTACTCAACAATATATGATATTGTAATATCATTACAATGATATTGTAATATCATTACATATAGGACTCTTTATATTGTTACTTGTATATCAATGGCCAACCATATGCTCCCAGTTTAAGAAGCAAACATATGAACCATCTTTTATTAACTCAGGAGACGATACTGTTTGCAAAACAAAATCATGTCAGCCTTTAGTTTATGTCCACTTCACGTATTTTATGACATTATATAATACTGACAGGCCCATTACACATGACAGTATTTTCACAGTGGTGTAAGCACGCGTAATTGTTTTCTTTCATCTATTAATTACCAGTAATTATGTCTTTGCTCACAGGCTAAATCAGATGACTGCCCTAAGGTCATCAATTGTCAGACAAAATATAAGTGAATAAATGGCAGGTGTCAAATTTCTGTTTTTCCAAAAGCAAAGGTTTTGCTTACAGAAACATTTCAGTAAAAAGAATATCATGAAGTAAGAAGAGTAACATTTACACATATTAAGCAGTTATATAAAAAGCACCACAATTGAATTTTACACATAAAACACCTTTACATCGCATTTGCTCACATTAAGATGGCGACTCACATTTAGATAGCAATATGTTGTTTAAATAAAATTTGTTATGATAAATCTCATTATCATAAATTGTAGGATCATAAGTGGCCGAAGAAGTTCTCATTTAGCATGTAAAATGTCATCGAATTGGCAAAAATTAACATTGTCATCATAACCATCACAATCATCATCATCATCATCATCATCATCATCATCATCATCATCATCATCATCATCATCATAACAATTATATCACCTTCATAAACATATTCATATCATCATATCGTAGTCGTCATCGTCGCCATAATAAAAATAATAATATAGTAAATAATAATAATACAGACTTTACTTAACGAGAAAACTCATTTGAACAACATATCAATCTTCCATGACGATTTCAACAATGTACAATATAAATTTAACTTAATTATTGAAACTATCAAAATACATAAATGTTACATACACAAGCTTTTTAAGACAAAGTTATCAATTTGTAGTAAGAAATTGACACTAAAAATAATTTGTATTTGTTGCTAATATTATTTTTATACTTAATATTGTTATACTTAAGAGATTAACATTTATTCATATATCTATGTTACAAAATGACAGAATTCTTCGTACATTTTATAACTGACATACTTCTTTACTTAGGCTGAATCTATTCATGACATATTACTGTTGCAAAAATTCTATGTACGCAGTAGGGCACCGTATCATACACACTTGTGCAATATATGTGTAAATCGATTTCTCGATGTATCTACCATTTATGTGATTATGTGTGAACAATCCCGATTGCTATGTCATGAATGCACAATAAATGTCTATTAATCAAGTCGCCCGCGGTTATGTATGATGTCCATTTTACTATTAATATGATAATATACATGTGGGGCAAAGGACACAGAACTTTCACCATGTTAGCAGTATTTCCGCCTATGTTTTGTAAAATTCTAATATCAAGTTACCGCGAATGTTGGTTTTGTTGTTGTAATATTACCTTACTTTCATAGAAAAATCAAAGAATTACATAACAAAAATGAATCAATGTCCTAATCAATCAATTAATCAAGAGTGTTGTTTATACAAAAACTAATTTATCCTTCAATTCAACAATTTTTAGAAAAAGAAATATAACTTTAATGAATATAAACATATGTGTTTTTTAGTTTTAAATGAAGGCTAGTCTATGTTTTGTATATGTGTATTTTTTTTCCTGACCACAACATCGGCCATACTACAATCTTATTGGTTATACAAATATATATCAATGTACACTATTGTTATATGTAATATACTAGTAATATAAAGTAATATAATAAAAAGAACGAGAATCGCTTTTTTTCCATAGATTCCCCTGTTGTACACTTTGTTTTAAAAGCAGATATAACATGTTCATAAAAAATATAGATTGCAAAATATGTAATATCTACGCCACAACATGTTTCCTAATTGCAGAATTGTCAAATTTTAGTGCACTTATAGCTTTAAAGTGGGGTAAAAACTAACCATTTATCGGCAAAGTTTCTTTTGATTTCACATCACAAATACAAAAAAAAAATTCTACGACATAAAACACATTCAATAGAGTTTCTAATATAAATGTCCGTACACATTTAAAATTTGGCTAGCAATACTTTAACAATGTTTAAATGTATAATTGTGCTTAAGTCGGCGCAGGCATAATGAACAACATGTTTGCCATATTCAGATATAAGGTCGCACATTTTCGTTCTTATAAGAAAATAATGCTGGGCATAGAATGAATCCTGATTTAACATGATCTAACGTGATTGAAAACCCAAGTTTCTAAACTAGTACTGTGGAAAAAAGTAGTTGCCTCATTAGTATGCACAAACTTAAAGAGAATTAATGTAAAACAATAAATACAAAACTTGGTTTTAACTTTTTTTATTTTCAGTATACAATTCATAATTTTGTGAGAATTACAAACAGAATAATATACAAAGGTCCAAAGCACACGAAATTCCGGTTTAACCATAATTTGTATTCGAACATTTCCATCTATGTAACATGTAACATTAAATTAATTGATGCATATTTTGTTTATAGACAATGGCCTTGAAATAAATTGGTTAGTGTTGACAATGTTTAGGCACAGTTACCAGACAAAACTCTACCTAATGGTCATGTCCTATTTTCTCATTGTTACTTTAACTGGTCCAGTGTGATACAACTAATGTTTAATTACTCAAACTTTAATTTTCACGCGAGAAATGTATATAATATGTTTACGTGGTGTGATTTATTAATATACCAGACAAAATATACGGCCGTTCAACTATAAAGCTGTTGGCAAGGCACAACATATAAATGTTTTATTTTTGTTGTTTTGTTTTGTTGTGATTTTTTTCAAGTACAACTCTGTGTTTCAAATATACCTAAAACGAAATACACTTCAAATAAAATAGGCCCTAATGAAATGTAATAGCCAAACGCAGCTAAACCAGATATTATTAACATATGCATGCCACAGTACATGCCCCCCCCCCAACACCGGCTAAAGCAAAATTTATAATAATGTTTACAAAATTAACTGCGAATTTATTATTAATGCAGACTTAAAAACATTTTTTTAATTTCTATGACAAATGCATTGCTACATTTCATGTTTAGCTAAATTTGGTTAATTCCACGGTGTTTTTTGGTGATTAAGACGTGATGCAAATTACGATAAAGCCTTCAACGTTGGTGTGGCACGACTTCAAGTAAATACTTTTTTATATGCATATTAAAATTATTTCCGCTCAAAATTTGGCAGGCATTTCCTCAGCTTATTAATAATTTCCGAAATAGACAAGATTACCGCTCATGTAATCATTAATAATTTTCTCACGTATGACGTAAATAAACTGGTCTTTGTCCCATTCTGACAATGCGTTTAGTCAATGTGGTACAAACACTAACATTATGTGTTAGATCACAGCTTTTATTCACTCTACGTGGAAGATTTAATTTTGAATATGGCAAAGTTCATACTAATTAATCTTTTTTTCTGCATTTCATTTAGGTTAAAATTTTTAATCCTTTATTCAAAGTTCACCATAAGAAGGAAATGCCAACATGGGTTTGGTCAACCAGTATACCGGTTTCAAGTTGGATCAACTTGTTTGTGTCATATGACCAATATGTCGATTAACCATCGACCACACACATTCCGCACAACAATTGCGTTACCATTTGGTAGTGTTTTTGTAGTTTCCACTCTGGATCACGCAGTAAGCCACACTGAATTAACCAGAGCACACTTCAGCCACCACATCAAAACAGTTTACCAGTACTAGTTGCCTTTACTTTCGCAAGGAA